TTGTTTGATACCATGTTGTTTTAAACAGAGTATGCCCTGAAGAAGTTGGAAAGTGCTGCTGGATTAATGCTAGACAACCTTGTGGAGAAAGATATGTTGTATGTAGGCAATTATCTCAAAAGCCTGCACATAATTCAAGGTGACATTGACAAGATTCTCAGTTCTTGAACATGCAGGTGGGTGCTTATTATGCAAATTCCTTACAAGATGTCGATAGTTGTCGAGTACGCTCAGTCATCTCCGCTGACTCCAATCTAGTGTTGTATGTGCAGTAAAATAAATTTAATCACTTTCTCATTGACTGCTACTTCCTCCTAATCCGTCGTTGACCGTCAAATTCACAAAATTTGCTCTGCAAGCTAGTTAGCGGGAATTACAAGAAGTTGTCTGGCAACCACTCTCATGCAAGAAATTAATCGCGTCCGTCTGAATTAATCTGTCTCGTTTGAGCTGCTTGTCTTATCTTCAAGACTTGAATCTGCCTCCTTCCTTACAAAATCACCATCCTAAAAAACGTTATATAGACCCTAAGAAAAGTCATTCATCGCCTTTGTGACTACAATATTTCACAGCGTAGTTCAAGATAATATCTACAACGGTTGGTCTACTTTTGAGTCTAGGATTGAGGCTAGCTCACACCGAGGTGCAACATGATTGCGAGATGAACATGTGCTTTCTAACAGGCCTAACTTTGTTCCGAGATCTGACGAGATATAAATATTATTCCGGCAGAGTATTCCAAAAGACATCTCTCTACAAGAATTTCCCGAGTTGTTTTCTAGTTCACTTATGTGACCATTGTAATTTGGTCAAAACGATCTTGTTCGCATCGTTTCAGAATCCACACCTTTGTGTATAAAAATTGGATATATATCGGTTTCAATACTTAAAGTCAAAATATAGTATCAGGTACGAAGTTGATCCATACACATTTTAAGTTTGGAGGACAAGGGTAGTATTTGGGCCATATGTACTTGGGATACAGTGTCATCATTACCTTGTTATGTTCATATGTATGGAAAAGATGCTGCTCTATCACGAGCTTGGTTCTCAAATAGAGTCCAACATAATGAAGTGCCCTACAGTGTGCACCTCCTTTTGATTGTAAACTGATTACATTTTAGCATGCTTTATTCCAAGAACTTGCAAAGTATGTATGAACTGGAAATCAGTCGTGAAGTTAGCTACTTGATCTGTTGATTCATACTATCAGCAAATCAATCTTTCGGAAACTTGCACTTGTAACAAAGAAGTCACAGAACTTTTTTAGAGATCTTCGAAAGGCCGTCACTAGCACTTTAATACTGGATTTTAGGGATGTTCGATGTTGTTATTTTAAAACTACTCACTTCTGGAAACGTTTTGGTCACATTAGGACTCTCAAGTCTAAAGACACAAAAGGAGTATGATTAATTTCAGTAGTCAACAGTCATATTATGAATAAAGCAAATGTATGCATTTGATATCAGCAAACTGTACTCATCTTATACAGTCATCTGAATACAACAAAAAATGTTTGTTGTATTGTTGTAATTTGTCCTTCAGAGAGCTGATGCAGAGATTAATTAAGTTGTTGCGGCTCAATTTTTGAAGTAAGAAGAACGTCCTGCAGAGGTGTCTTTGAATGGGAGGAGCTGCAGCTTACACTCATCCCAACGGTAGTACTAATTCACCTACATTTGTTTGTTTGTACGACATATATTTCCAATATATGTCCAACAAATTCTAATACTCTTGCTTACTTCACCATGAATATGCAACCAACTTAGAACGGTACTTTTAGTTTATTTCAGATTAATGTGAGGTTACTTTTTGCATGTATAGAAATTACTCTTGAGAGATTCACCCAAATCTCAAACAGAAACATTCACAAATGGAGTCCATGTATCCACATTATTTCTTTACTGATCATGGCACTTCTCTGCTCTTTGATTAACAAGGTGGATCATATGTTGGTAGAAATAAGACCAGGTTTGGACTATATCCAACTTTATTACCTCAAAGTATTGGAAATACCGAAAGTCTTGTTCTCTAAGGAAACAACAAGAGTATGTATCTAAACTACGAATATCACGCAATCCAAACTTCATGCCACAACCCGTAATTCTTGAATTGCATGCCTCCGAACCCTCCCAAACATTCAAGAGCATAGGATCTGGTCTACAATTGCTTACTTATTCTTCATACAGGAGTAGCATTTGTTCATGATCTGAACATATCAACGAGGACGGCTTCTTTCAGGAGTGTCAACGTTGTTTAAGAAATCTGTATCACTAATATTAGTCAATCACAAGTCTTTACAAAATTATCAAGTATTCTTCTTCGTTTTTTTATGAGGTACAGTTAAATGAACTTTCTATTCTAAAATAAATATCTAGCTTCACTTACAAGAAAGTTGCCTTTACTTTTACTTTCATCTTTCAATGTTTGGTCACATCTGTCGAGTACAGTATAAATGAATTTCTAATCTAGTTGTGAAATTCTTTTGGTGCAGAAGTAAGGTAGCATAAAGAAGCAACATTCAACAAGTTCCAAAATGAATTCTTGTACTTCATGGTTGATTGTGGATTCATTGTCACTTGAAGTGGAAGTTGAAAGAGGAGCAGCAATAATCTCATCATCATCACAACCGACGTCCAGACATGAAACAGAGATACCATCGGGATGGAAAAAAGCAGATGATGTGATAAATCCAAGATGTCATTATTTTTATCATTCAATTGAGAAGGGAAGTGAAAATCGCTATCGTGCAATGTGTGAACATTATAGGGAGATGCTTGATGGCAAGTCTGACAAGTTAGAACATCATGTCTTGCATCGATATACTTTGAATTTTGAAAGTAGAATTGAGTATATGCGTATCGTAGAACAATCTTCAAAGAGGCAACGTATGTCAATGCAATCATCAGGGTTGGAGTCACAACCAGTTTTTTTGCCGTAGCACTAGTAGCACGTTTGTCAAAGTTCTTCAGTCCGTCAATGAATGCAGAAGTACAGGACAATCATCATTTGAGATTTTTAGACTTTCTTGGTCTCCTTCAACAATGTCTTCAATGTGTGTTCCAACAAGGAACTTGGCCTGTTCATCCGTGGTCTCAATTCTAGTTACATTATTTCTTCAAGAAGAGTAGTATCTGATAGACTATTACAAAAGAAGGTGTATACTAAAGAAGCGGTTTGAATCGGAGAGTTTCTAATTATGAATTTCTTCCAATGTCGAATCCGTAAAATAATCAAACTAAGGTAATAAACACCTGTAAACAAAATTCAGACCAGCCCCTACAAAAATAAAAATATTACATAAAAATGAATCCTTATCTACATATTTTCTAAAAACAAACAAGGAACAAACGCGTTAGCTCAGCCCCTGATCATCACATATTTTTCACGATTGTTGGAACTTGAAGAAAACAATCGACTCACACTACCTTTGCAGTAATTTAAGCATTAAGCCGAGCTTAAGTCAGCCCAAAAGAGTGCGATATCAGTAGACCAAGAACGAACACTCATCGTTTACAACATGGACTACCAGGGTATCTAATCCTGTTTGCTCCCCATGCTTTCGCACTTTAGCGAGATATAGTGAGTGTTTGCTTGAGCTTGGAGATCAATTCAAGGACGTCAGCGATGTGACGCTAATGATGGATGGATGGGAAGATGTTTAGAACAACTCAATCTACGTTGTGATTGCCATTACTAGCACTAAACAATGAATCTTGGACAAAGTACACTTTACATGTAGGCCAAAACTCTTCTTCGGTTGACATCAATTGTTGACTTTATATCCGACAGTCCAACTACCATGATCAGATTGAGGAGCAATTTGGTCAATTTGCATCTAAACATGGTTCATTTGCCTGCCATCCAAACATGGTTTAGGCCTGTGATTCATAAGCCAATTGTTGAAGTTGTGATACTTGCCTTCACAATCAAAACCCAAGTGCTTCCAAGGACGCTGTTTTTTTTTCTTCAGTTAATTTCCTAACTCTCAAACTGTTGATTTACATGGACTTTGAGGTCGAAATGCTTGAAGATGTTTGGTGAATTGAATATATATAATTAACTTGATATGATGCAAAGAGCAATCATCGTTACTTATGCTTCAATATAGCCGGTTGTTGTCGTGTATTGCTTGAATAATGATTTTTAAAAGAATAATTAGTTGTGTGAAATTGTATCTATTCTTCATGATATCAATACTGTTTCCAACTTCTACTTTCAGACAAATGTTTCTACTTTGCGTTTCTTTGATTGTGTGAAATTGTTTTGAGATAAGAATATAAAAATTTCACATAATCAAAGAAATGAACAACACAAATTTCAAGTGATTCAATTGAAACCTAATCATATCCAAGATTCACTTTCTGAAATTCAAAAATATTTTGTAAAATGCTAACTACGATAAGGACAATAGTTTTTCCCAAGTTCATGTTATGATACAAAATAATGTAAACCATTAGAATTTTTGGTGGAAAGTCATCTCATCATCCTCATTAAACTGTGTATAGATGGAGATCGGTTGACCTGAAATATTGAAAACATGAATAAAACCCAATTGCAAATTGATATAGAGAATCCTGTCCATATATACCTCTTCCCCATGGTGATATGGATCTACCTCAATATTGCCATAGAAAGTCAAGAAATCAAATATCAGACTACAATATTTTCCAAAAGCTCTTTGGCATTGGGAAGCTCCCTTGTGACACTTAGACATTTCAAAATGCACTTCAGACATTGAATAAATCTCAACCTGAATGCCACCCATTTATCCTTTACAAAACACGTCAACCGATCATATAGAACCCGTTTGGTATAACATCATGTTATCTCCCATTACGAATGGCAGTAAGTTTGAATATTATTTATGGACCAGCCAAAAATAATCAATATGATGGCAGAAGTATTTTTATATCCTTTGAAGCTACAGCATTTGAATCCAGTTGATATTACCATTAACAAAAAAACCCTGTCATCAGAAAAATAATGTTGATTTACGAGTTTTAAGAACGAATGGATTTGTTTATTGCGAGAGAAGAGTTCAATGACCTTGAACCATATATTACAACGACAGAGAGTACGAGTTTGATTGCTTGGTGCCCCCAAGTGTCTACAAACTAATGATACTCGGAAAGCAATCATCACAAAAAACCTTCGCCTTCCGGGCTCGGTCGTCAGCCGGTCACCCGGCCAGCCCGTCAGGTCGCAGACGTGGTGCCGGCGGTGATGGGAAGGGAGAGGGTATGAAGAAACGACAAGATTACTTTTCGAGGCGTATCAACGAAGCTCGGATTAGAATGAAAACATCAATTTTAATTCCAGCATTAACCACCCGGTAATTAAATCCGGCCTTAATCTCCCGATGATTAGCATTCCCGGCAGATCTGCAAAAGAGGACGCAGTGTGGAATATTCTGATGACCGGCCTTCTTCGGTCGTCAGGTTCACGAAAGCCGGGCCCAAAGCGGCCCTGCGACCTCCGCGACCTGGAAAAAGTCTCGAACCACCGGCCGTCCCGGTAGGCAGAAGGCCTCCTGGCCTCTGAGCAGCCTTCGCATGCGATCCAGCCCCGCCGCGTTCGCACTTCCCCCCGGGCCTGCTTCGCCCCGCGGAGTGTCGGACATGTCGAGCTCGGTGGACTTGTGGAAGACGGCGTAGCGCTCGAAGACGACGAAGAGGAGCGAGTTTCCCACGGCCAGCAGCCACAGGCCCAGCAGGAAATGCCGGTGCTGCGACAGGTCCACGAGGCCGAACGAATGGAATGAGAAGTGCATCGGTTTCAGCAGGAAGAGCGAGGACAGGACGAACTGGCAGATCAGAGTCGCCGTCAGCGGCACGTTCGACAGGAGTGAGTTTCTGAACAGCCCGAAGCTTTGGCTCAACGTGAGCGCCGTAGCCACGTACTGCAACAATCAATCACCACGATGAGATTCTCGATCTCAGCTTTCGGCTGTTCGGTGGGCTCTGGATGCCTGCCATCGGCTGAGCTGAGTCCACCACCGAACGACATGTTGCGAGCTGTTGCTGATCAAGAGTAAAGTCACGTGCACTACAATGCTGGAAGTCTGGCAGATCGACTCTGACCTGAAATGAAGCAAATAGGAAGGAGACGGTGGTGTTCTGATTGTGCTGCGAGTCGAAACGATCTGCGTTTTCATCGTTTGCCCTCTCGTACCAGCTCTAGAATTCGCCAACAGAACAGAAAAGAACAGACAGAAGAGGAAACCATATTAGTCTTCTGCTTGGAGAACAGTATCAATAAACTTTCTGAAGCATCATCCTCCGGTTACATGGACCGAAGTGTCGCAAGAGTTTAACTTCTCAATTCTCATACAAATGCCTTCGGACAACACAAGCATCGAGCAGCATCACGCTATCAGCGAGTGAAGATTTCAAATAAAAAAAACAAAAACAGATAAAAACATAAAAGGATCGAGATTCTTGAGAGTGATTGGACCCACCTGCTGTTCAAGGTATACTTGTGCTATCACCTGGAATGCCATGATGAATACAGTTTGACCATAAACGCTGATGAGAATGGGAAGTGCCAATAAATTGCCTTCAGGTCTGCCACGAGTCAGCTCCTTTCTGGGATGAGTTGCAGGCATGAACAGTACGAGGGGGAATACCAGGCCCAAATCTGCCCATAGATACTGGTTGTCGAACAATTCTAGCCGAAGCCTAGAGTCACAACTGGAAGTTAGATCCAGAATCATCTTACTCGTATGTCTCAACACAATCGGTTCAAATTATGTACAGTAAAATACACTCTCGTCTTGAGCAACTCTAGATCCGGACTGTATAATGAAAACGATTAACAGATCACGAGACTAAGCAACTAGAGAACCCTCGGAAGACAAACATGTAGAATGTGATCTTCAATGAGCAGACCTGTAGAGAACGATGACCGAAGTCGCTTGAATCAGACCATAGAAGAACATGTATTTAAACATAACCGTGGCACTTACTAAGGCACATCGCCCCTCAGATAGGACCTGCAGGCAAAGGATGAACCATGTTCAACATCAAATCACAAGCCTATCTAAGATATTGAGCGAGTTTCACGTACTTCTGTCCATAGGTGCCAAGGCACTTCACTTCCCCACGGTAAGAGTTCCATAAACACCCTGAGCGAGATCCATCGATCGTCATAAAATTTCATCTTAAGGATATCACCAACTCCAAGAATTCAAGTTCGAAGCCAAGAGCATTATAACGACAGTTTGGCACTGCAGCATATTTACTGATTATCTATTCAGTTTACTATGACTTTGGATGATTACCATGGGCACAACTCCAATGTGAGCAAGCTTAGTCGAGAAAGGAGCGGCTATACTGGGCCCAGCCGCCATTGTGTCCGTGCTCGCAGCAGGCTTGCTTGCAATGCTGATTCATTAAAAAACATGCTTTGTCAACGAACAAATGGGACCTTAAGGCAGGCGCTTGAAACGTCTTGACTTCTATATCTTATGGACGAGATTCGGAACGAATGCTTCTAAGTTTTCCTAGCTGCTTCTTATGAACATTGTACCTGATTCCGACGTCAGCGGCTTTCAATGCACCCGAGTCATTTGCTCCATCTCCAGTCCTGTGCACAACGAAAAATTCAGCTGATATATATCCTTCGAATTAGACCCTTCAATACACAATCCACTACCAACTAGGAACAATATTTTGATGGAGGTTAAGACGAGTTCCTGGTTTTTCAAGTGATTTAGATAATCAAGCAGCTTCATATACGTACATGCACACAACGTAGCCAAGGTCTTGTAGGCTTCGCATCAGCTCCATCTTATGCTGGGGAGACATCCGGGAGAAGATACCGGCCTGAGTAAGGACCATATGCAAAGGTGTGATACACTCCATAATTTTGACTGGAGTGGATCCCGTCCGCTCCGTATATTGTTCTACCAAATGTTCATGCTGCTGTAGAAGGGCAGAGAATGCGCGTCCAGTAACCACCAGATTGACAGCACCCCCACTTCCACCTGAGGTCTGAGTTTGAGACAGTGCGCACGTGATATCAGGTTTGCCAACGCTTCGAGAGCAAGCATGAATCATGTGCTGAGAAAATCTGATGTAACATAGGTTTCTGTTTTCTCAGCTGGCAGTTCAGGGACTTTTCTTGTTTCTTCGCTTACCTTGAGTTTGTTACTGCTACCAGCGTCCGTTGGTTGGGGTAATAAAAAGGTGTCAACGTCAATTTCAGATCTCCCTTCAGTATCAAAACTCGTTAGAACACAGCGGCTTTTGTATCTCTCAGGGTTGGAGTCAGGAGCCCGATCTAGCAGATATGTTCGACATCCAGGCTTCAGAAAATACGGGCCAGACTGCCTACGAGAATCCACGTTAAACAATTTTTGTATGAGTGTACTGAAGAGCACCATGTGAAGCAGCAGATTCAAAGGACTTCAAAACTTCATAGAGTTAGCTGGTGCTGACAGTGTGGTGCTAGTCTTCTACTCGAATGCGTATTATTGCATCGACTGTATTCTCTGGCGTGTTCAAAAGACTGCAGTGCTAAACAATTCAATTTAACCGTATTAGTTATGAACGAAATATGCATAGGAATATTTGCGTTTCTCAGGCCTTTTTACATTAATCTACAGCATATTACACGCGTGTGGTTGAGAATTAGACCTGGCCACTGCAGCTGCAGTAAAAGGGTTGTCTCCTGTCACCATGATTTCTCGGAGCCCAGCCTTAGCAAGCTGAAGCAAAACTCCCGATGTTTCTGGTTTGAGTTTGTTCTCCATCACCAAGAAACCGCTGAATATCAATTCGCTCTCCATGTGCTTCCTCTTTGCTACCATCATCTGAGTTCATGCCAGATGAGTACGTACAACACGAATGAGCAATGAACAAGCAAAAGTTGCACATCGTATTTAAGTATGTGAGTTTCTGACTCAAGCTTATGCCCATGCTATTACCTGAGGTATAGTCATTGATCCAAGCAATCGATAGGCACAAGCCAGAACGCGATAGCCTTCGGCGGTGAGAGTTTGGAGCTGAGTGTGAAAATCGTGCGGTAGTGATTCAGGGACGCAATTTTCCTGCAAACTGTACACGTCTCCATGAGGCACTGTTTGAAGTTGACAACACAGCCAAAGAAGGCCTCAAACGTCTGTAATATTGCAAGTCAAATTTTACATCCTTATATATTATGAAACCGATAGAACAACTTCTACGATTAACTATGGACCGAATGAATTAACAGGCTGCCTCACCTTTCAGGAGCACCTTTGACGAGAATCCAGCTTCTGGCATCGTCTAAAGTTGAATCGATAGAGGGCAGCTCAAGTACTATGGTGCTCATTATCCGTATTTCAGAGTCAAAAGCAAATTTCCTCAGTACAGCAAGAAGTGGCTTCGAGTCAACCTCTGTTGGGGGCATGATCACAGTATCCACGGCCGAAAGAGCATTTGTCCAATGTGTCGGAGAATCTGGTCTGCGCACAGACGGTGAAATCTCTTCGAATGGACGGGCCATGTATCTCCAACCTGGACGACCACTCAAACGTTCTTCGAAATGTTAGAATATATATAACCAGGTAGGATTCTCATGAATTCCACAAGGCAGAATACCTCCTTCATCACTTAAAACTAAGTTGAAATCAAGAATCTACGCGGACGAGGGTGGACCTCATCCGTGGAGAGAATGCTCGACAGATCAAACGTACTACTCATTCTGTATCTTATATGCTTGCTCTCTGTTATATTCGGAATTTTTTGATACAGTGGGCACAAGGTACTGAAATATGCCATCGAAGTAAATCTTGTCTCGCCAAATAATTGCTGTGGGTAAACAATCTAATCAAAGTGGTGGCCACCTGAGCCCCTACGAGCTTTTGAACCCTCCACACTGACACATAAGCCTCACTTAACTAATAATTACAGGTAAAAAGATATCAAGTTGAGCATTTGTGACCTGTACTGGTAAACATTTGAATCTCCAGAGGATCTCCAATGAACTGGTATCTTTCCTGTACGATTCCCGGATCGTGTTCAACGATAGTTGTATCCGACGGGTTCGCGTAAGAGTTTTTAGAAAAGAATTCTCTACAGACTGTAGGAAAACGTCGCAGCCATTCTGCTGATATTTTCACCCCAATCACCTTCTTGATTTCATCTCCCTTTGCAATGCCAGATCCTGTTTCCATGTGATCCAAGAGTGAGATATCGTGGCATGCTGCCAGAGTGTAAAACAGTCCAAGTGAAGATACAGAATTCCTATCAGCCGAATCCCCCACTGACGAACGTACAAGAAGAGCCTGCAATTACAAGGCTTGATCAGAGTTGGCCAAGCTCAAGCTTCCCTTAGAGCAAACAACAAACTTTGACGTATTATTGAACTTCATTCCAGGGAGATCACTTGCACGTAACGAATTTCGTGGAAGGATGTGAACTTTCCAAACCTGTTGCCCTTGAAGGAACACGGCATGAGGATCCTTCTCCAATTTCCCGCAGCCCATCGTCGTGTTCAAAGTTTCATTTTCGCACTTCTTGACGACAACCACGCCCTTGAGATTCAGCCCGTCCTCGGTGATCGTTCCAGTTTTGTCAAAGCACAAAGTGTCCACTCGACCTACGCTAACTATACGACCTGGGTTTATGCAGTACACACCCTTTCCCTGTAAACGCTTGAAAGACACAGATATACCGATAGAAAGTGCTAGGGGTAATGCTGCTGGAACGGCGATTGTTACAAGATTGATACATGCTTCGAAAATAGTCATGGCTGATTCCTGCATCGTATTGATACACATGCACATATAATTAGATTCCAATAAACTTGCACTGGGGTCCAACAAAATCATTCTCAGAAGTGATCTCTGACCTGTGACAAGGGAACCTTGAAATGAAAAAAATGATGTTTCCAGCATCAATTCTCTCCAGCGTGTGGTTACACACATTTTGCAAAGATATAAGCTCGTTACAAAGGATAATATGAGAAGCAAGCAACACACATTTCGGAACTGACGTGTGGCTGTGAGCTCACCTTTCCGACTTGAAAATATATTGTGGCAGCACAGACGACGACCAAGTATATGGCACTATTAGCTACAAAATGATACAGCTTCCTTTCGAAGTTGTATTTCGAAGGTTTAGGAAATCGAATAGCCCTAACGAGGTGCCCCTTAGCAGTTCCATACGCCGTTGATATGACCATCGCCGCTACTGGTGCAGTGTCCTCCTGACGTGCAAGCAAGTTCATGAAAGTGTCTTTTACTGCTTTCTAAATGTTGATCGGAAAACTAGGTGGAAATAACGCCTTGTCCCTTCTCATTATCGATATCTTTGCCAAAACCCATGGCCACGAGGATTCACGCAGATGTTTAATACAATACATATGGTCATGTAAGCAGGTTCTAAAGGGAGGAATATAGCAGGTACCTTCGTACTAGAAGAAGCTGCCTGCGAGTGCTGCAGGCTTAGAAACTGCCAAATGGAAGCATGTTGATCACTGCCATCAGAGCCAGACATTTGATGCATACGAGGATCGGAGGAGCCCCTGATCTGGATCGCTAGAGTACCTGAGAGTAGCATGTGTCGTCCATCACGCTCCGACTTGCTTTGAAACACCTGTGACAAATTCAAGACACTGCTTCTGACATAGACATCTCCACCTGAACTGGGAATACTGCCGTTTGAGCAGACTGCAGAGATAAATGGCAGGCGGTTATGCCGAGGAAAAGACGTATCACCTGCCCAAATGCGGATGATCCGGATGGTAATGGTGTCTTCGGAACGGGGGCACTTTCTCCGGTCAGCATCGACTCATTGACCACACACTGGCCTGCTAGGAGGACCAAATCACATGGAAATGACATCCCTGCTTCAACCTCTACGATGTCTCCTGGAAGTAGCTCGGAAGAAGAAATAGTGACCTTTTTGAACCCAATGTCTGCTGCTTTGTTGGTTGAAAGGGTCAGCCTTTTCACTAGACATTCAGAAGCTGCCAGCTTCTGGACAGCTTTCAAATTCCTACGAGTCTCGAAAACGTTGAAAAGTACTGAAACCACTGTCATGCTTAAGATGACGTAGGCGTATATGCGATAGCCTTGATACATCCAAACGATTACGGAGAAGACCTGAAATACGAAAAATGGCTTGAAAACCTCCGTCATCAACAATCGCCTGCACACAGACCGAACCACAAACGAGACGTTCGAAGCAGGGTCCAACGATGTATGTCATGCAGAACGACGAAGAAAACGCCAGGAAAAAATCATGGAGGAGGAACGGCCAAGTACCCTAAGTTTGGCACTTCTACTGTGAGCACATTAGGCCCATACACCAGAAGACGCTTTCTCCTGGCATCACACTTCTGACCTGCCAGGCAAGCCAAAAAAGAACGAGGTCTGTCGGTTCGGAGAGGTCTGAAATTTTCAGCTTGACCATCGCAACTTCAAGATCGACTTGCATAAAGAGGGTGAAGGAGAGGGTGCTATTTGTCACATACTCTTCACAGTATCGTAGCGCATTTCCTTCACGGCACAGTCATGTGCAACAGACTGCAGGTCAGCGTATGTGACATCAACATTGAAGGATCTTCGGGTCCAACTTCCATCTTGATCGTTGTACCAGTAACGTTCTTCTCGCCACACAAACATCCGATCTCGATTTGTTCTCACCTGCCAGGAGGACAAGATCCAGGCTATTCAGATATTGTCTTTCCAGGCCATGAAACAGAAGACGAACCATCTGCATTCGCCTGACGTTGCGCTGACTGACACTCAATTCCGTCACAAATAGCCGTCATTTTCAAAAGAATCCTACTTTCGCCTCTCTTCATTTACAGTGTTCCCATTTCCAGATTATGAGCCTGCCTCCCTAGTCCGCCATAACTTCAGATTCACTAGCTCCATATTTACACGAGTAATCAATAATAATCACTTGAGATCTGCAATCTCAAGTGATTGCCAGGCTCAAGCATATGACTTAGTGAACGGCATTAGTTTGCTTCTTGTAAAGTAATGTGAGCTGGTGGTGGGTAGAAGAAAGTGTCTAGTTAGACTTACAGGCATGTGTGGCCACAAAATGTGTCAAGACATTTTAAAAGAACCTCTCAAAGGTGGCTGTGTTTGGCAGTGAATTTGCTGGGGTATAGTCAGGTACCTCATCAGATGGGGGACGAGCTTCGCCGGCAGGCACCCAGCCCTCTTCACCTCCCGCAAAAATCCAGTGAATTTTAACCAGGGACTCAATCTCATCCATGCTCTCCACGAGCACACGTTCGGCAGTAACATCCGTCTGCCTCACTCGGACGAATCGCAGACGCGCATATAGTCGAGGATATGAGAAGCAAAAAACCATGGCTAGCCCGGCAGTGAGGAAGCTAATGAGTGCAAAGAACAAATCTTTGAAAATGGACCGTCGATAAAACCTGGCCGATTTGATCTCCAAAATCTGATCATCTTCTTCCAACATGGACACATCTCTCTCCCCATGGCTCGTCCCTTGCTCCGGGTCATTGCCCCCCACTTCATCCTGTGATGCTGGTAGAGAAGCCGGTGATCGATTTTTCGTGTTAGCATCTCGTACTAACCAGGAATCGTCCTCTTCACGGCCCGACACAGTCCTGGCAGTCAGTTTGCTGCTCTCGTCTGCCATGGTGGAGCTTTCTCTCAGACTCGCCAAGCGCAACCCATCCAACTGCAACAGCTTCATCCGACAGAATTTATTCCATCCTGCCATCGGCATCGTGCCTTTCGGCTCCCCTCTCGTGCCTCCTTTCCTGTACAGACTGCCTACAGATCTGGACCTACTGGTAGACTGGTGACAAGCAGCATCTGGGGAAGTCCCCAAATGCAGCAGATGGGAAAGGTTCAGAGATTAGTGATCTCTGTCGACACGCGAGGACTCGCCGCCACTCATTACATCACATAACTTAGGCCTTAAGCCTCCCTCAGTGACAGCAAGTATGCATCGTGCACTCGACTGACGTCATGGATCCCATTGAGACGAAGTACTGTCCACCGACGGGAACTCCAAAAACTCTTGAAAGCACTGCCGTCCCATCAATTTCACGCATGCCCGAGAAAACTTGTGTCCTGCGCTCGATGCTTAACTTCCTTGAAAGTCAGCTCGACTTGAAAATTTCCCATAAGTTGGCGGAATTTGGAAATTCAAGTTCAGGTAGAGCTATGCTTGACTTCTGTATGTAGGAAGGGGACGAGTCAGCGTCAGTCTCAATCGAAGACTTGCACTCTCGTTGGAGTAGGACTTGAGTAAGTCACATCACCATGGCCCCAGATCGGCATGGAGTCTCGGAGACAAGTATCGGATCAGGGCTGTTGTAATAAATGGATGTTGTGAAATAATGGTGACTCTCGACATCGTGCCCTGTGCTGATAAGTACCGCACCCGACATTGACGCTCTGGCATTTTGGACCTCATTGCCCGTGGATATTCAGAGGAGGTTCTGCGCCGTGATATGGAAAGAAAATGCCGGCAACTTTGGAAACAGATTTCTCATCAAATTTGGAGACCAGACGTGCAATCAGATGTGCTCCCCGTGCAAGTTTAGCTGGAGGAAGTGGGTCCGTCTGTGATCATCTGGCGGCCAGATCTGGTGCAGGTTTCTTCACTGACGCGTTGTCAAGTCCCGCGTGCTGACCACATCTCGTCGATAGATGGACCTTTGTCAATGACCCTGTCAATGCTGCATTTAAACGCTCCCGCACTTCATAATTCCTGCACAGATCTCCAAAAGTTTGCAACTCGAAACAAGGTCAAACGTCGGAGGTCCTCAGAGCCACGGATGTTGGAACGAATCCAATTGACCAGCCAGCCACTAACCACGGATCGCCAAGTGGAGGCTCTTGATCGAGAGTAAAGTTCTCCATGAGTGGAAGATTCGCACGACACAATTCAGTAGACTAGGACCACAAAGATTTGCGTGATGCCAGCCTCCTGAACTTTTTTCGTCACATGGATATTACACTGTTACGAAATTATAACAATAAGTAATCCCCTGCTCTGATGGAAACTTTGGGAGAGGTCGAAGAAATCGACGAAGTATGTTCTGAAAACGTCGTGCCGTGATTGTCTCGGCAGATGAGAGCTGTCGAGGGGTTCGATTCCTTGAGAGCCAAGATTGAAAGTGGGCGGGAATTGCAAGATAGGTCACAATCTCCATGGCCGGCATACATGAACATGACTCGCGTGTTAGCTCAGCAACGACCCAGCTACTGCGAGGAACACACAGCGAGTGGTTGGTGCACGAGTTCAGAACACTTGTGGCATAGGGAACCTAAACTTCCGCATAATCTCCCATCATCTCTAATCTTGCAAGGACTGCATACTGTCGTGACCATCACGCAGTCAACGACATCGTTCATAGACCTCGACTTGTCTCCAGCTCTCTACAGAGCATGAGCGGTCCACCATGACACAACTTTCTGTCACACTGTCTGCTCTGCTCGAATGTTCACGGGAAATTTGATGCCAAATGGTATCTCGATGTGTTGTTGTTGATGGCAATACTGGCCCGGGCTCACAGCGTCAGATCCACTGCGCCGATCCAGCCCTGATAGGGACTGACAAAGGTCCAGCCCTGACAGGGACTGACAGTGGTCCGGCGGGTCCTCGAAGGGGCTGCCATGGCCCCGATGGGTTCGGAGTTCGGACTTGTTCAGGGGCTCTTTTGGGGGCGTGATTTGAGAATCAGAGGGGATGTCGTGAATCTCACACTGTGAAGCTTTACTCTAATCGATTGTTGAATCGATTTCTCGTGCTGAAGTTGCATATCTTTCAGCTTGACTGGGCCCCACTTTCCTTTGACTAGTTGACTACGGGCTCCAGATTGCCATCCATGGTCTTAGACCGAGATCCTTATAAACGTCATGAATCACAGTCTTCGGTGTCAGAAGATGGATTCCAGTCACGAACGAAGATTTTGCTGGATGAGGTGTAGGTAGACGTGGTCAACTTGGAGAAAGAGATCCCGAGGTATAATTCTGGAGGACAATTCTACAATTCCGTTACTTCCATAAAAAAATTGGAATCACGTTCTTCCCTTACTCTTAGATTCACAACCAATTGTCCATCAGTAGTCATGCGCTATGCCTGGAGTCCCACGAGCACTGAAAAGCTCAAACCTCGTGGTGACCTGAGCCCGAAGATCAGTGTGACATGTTCGAGTCGTTCGAAGAACGCATTTCATCACAGAATTTCATCGCGATGTCCGTGAATCCAAGGTCGATCGACAGCTCGTTTGATAGTTTCGCTCACTATCGGGGCATGGGAAGTTCTCTCGTCCGAAACTTCTGCCGATCGAAGGACCTTCACATCCTTATATTGAGCTGTGTAGATGCAGCTTTAAGGTCGCTGTCGAAGATCATGACAAAAGCGGCCTCTGCTGTTCCCTCTCAGGAAGCGCATGTCATGTTGTGTCATGTCTGCTGCAGCTGTGCACGTTCAGTCCGAATTGTGCCCATCACCAGAATAGATTCACAAGCGAATCTTCTCCAGCCTGTAAGTGGGGCTAGAAACAACGACGACAAGACTCACACAGAATCTCCATAAAGTGTTTCCAGGCTCAAAGTGCACCAACGACATCATCCTCCTCGCTTCTGTCGTGGGACCCACTTCTGGGATCTGTTCCAACAGTAGGTGTCACCTCCAGCATTGCTAGATGGTCGAGAAGCTGATTATGTGCTCGAGTAATCTCTCTGTCCCGATCGAGGCCTGTGTAGCATCATCCTGCCCATCATCACCGGCCAGTTTCGTAACCAGGACTCTGCGCAGGGGAATCTGATGTTACTGTAGGAAGCTCGGTTGAAGGCATCGGATCTCAGTCACTGTGGCTGTCAGATCTAGGCATGGACGACGACGACAAGCAAAAAGGACGCTCTGTAGTCATGAGACTCGTGGCTCGACTGTTAGGGTCTGCCCAATCTAAGGCAACCAAACTGACAGAACACTCGCAGTATGGAGTTCAGTCCTTCTGCGAATTTTAGCGAATTTCAGATCGGACCGGCAGTCAGGTGAGAAAAGATCGAATTTCAGGGCCAGCTTGAGTTCTCTATCTTTCGACAGGGCATCATCATTCATCTGATTTCAAGGACTGTAATCCAATTCCCTGCCTCATCCCCTCGATGAGACATACCAGGAACTGCTGACCTCTGAGATGGAGTCTGGCGCACGAGACTCAAATATGAGTTTATCTTAGCGAGGGCTATGGAAGTCTTGGAGCATAAATTACTGGAATGCACAGCCGGGAGAAGTGGAAACCGCAAGCACAAAGCTTCAAGAGTGCGAAAGCCTTCAGTGGTGGTCATGGTCCTGCATTCACGATCTTTCGTGGCCGAGTCACTTTCAACCTCAAATGCTCAATCAGTCAATCACTTTCAGGTAGCTTCGAGTCACAGTCCCCACACCTCATTCAACCAGAACTCGGACGAAAACTCATCCCCTGTAGAGCAGAAGAAGCTGCAGAATGGATACCTCCAAGAGATCGATCGAATCATCGAATCAGACTCTCCAGCTGAAAATAGACTTTGTAGTGCTGGCAGCTCCCCAAGCAGCTAGAGCGAGATCCAGCAGGTAAGGGACGCCATATCCACCGAACCATCGCAACGATGACGGAATTCATCCACTCTGGAAGGTCACAAGGGCACTTCTGGAAACACAACGAGCCATCTCCAGGCACCACCTTTGCAGAAAATACTCCGACAGCATGCGGAGGTAGCAGCAACTGCTTCGTGCAGGAGTGGAGTGGGTACTAGATCGACAAGGATTCCCAATCTGCACCGGGAAGTGCCCCTTCCCACCAACCGTACCGTACCATGCCGTACATCACGTGTACCTGGTACGAGGCGTGGCCGAGGGACTGTTGAGTGCAGATGTGAACGAAGGCAATTTGCACGGCAGGGACCCCCAAAAAAAGGAAGAGAGTGCGAGGTGTGAGGTCGACAAATTTAGGCGCAGCTGAACAGGCTGGCCGGAGCAGCCGTGAGAAGTCGGACCCGTTCCATCTCGGTGGCGGCAGCCAGACACCAGCTTGCATGAGCTTGGAATCGGCTACAGGCACAAGAAGCTGCGAATCTTGCGAGGGCCGAATGAATGGCAGCAAGTTACAGTTCGTTCGGAATCAGGTCGTGTTCCGAATCCTGACCTGATTCTGAACTGGAACGTCGCATTCTCGAGGACTTCACTTTCTTAGTACCAAGTTTGAGCAGCTGAAGAAGACCTTATCGAGCATTTCCATCGACATGAATGAATGTGGATCACTTTTGAAATATACAGGGCGTGATGGATGGATGGACCTTTTGAGAGGAGGAAGAGGAATCGTGAAGAGGATGTTAGGGATGCATCTTCATAAATCAGATGTCCTGTTGTAGCTGAGAGAAATTTTATGAGAGTGTGCAGGGAAACCTAGACGCTCGATTTAGTTTGGCCCTTTGGAGACGAAGAGCCATGTCATTCATCGTTTGGCAAAAGCCATTCTACTGCATTGAATTTACCCCAAGTTACTTCGATGGATGGGCGAGGGCGAGAGGAGGTGCACTGGACTGATTTTACAGCTCGCATATCGAAACCAAAGATTTAAAGGACTTATGGCCAGAAATCGGGGACAAGAGCACATGCGATGAACACACTTGAGAGACAAAAATAGACATAACCAGAGACGAGGCTGCAAACAAAGTACTGACAAGCATTTTATGCTAGTGACTAACTCGAACGCTACTAGTCTTGAAATAATCGACCTGCTCGTGAAGGCAGGAATCTCTTCGACCCTTCCTTTGAAAGTCCACAAGAACAAGAAGAAGATGTTAGCCATATATCTGCTGAAAACTTTACCTACTCTATTTTTAAAATCATTCACACGGCGTGCAAGCATTGTACGACCTTCACTCAGAAGTCGTACGGGCTACGAAGAATCTTCTGCAAAGGGCGTTTAATCTCACGAGTCCTATCTCAAGATCCACTAGAGGTCATATATTCTGCAATAATTACGGTATGATGTATAAGCACCTTGGTTTCAGAATATACTGCAATTGTTGATCATGGCTTCTTTTAAATCTGAAATTCCCAATAAAATTCGTTCCACTTCTTTCTCGTGCATATTCCAGTGATCTTGAAAAAATAATTCAAGAATGTAAAGCACACTTTTAATATGAAAGTGATTTGGACCAACATAGAACATTTGAAAACTATGTGCAGACATGTGCTGCTTGCAGTTTCTAATCTCCACAGTGCGTTGGAATATAAGGGGGGCATGCAGTAAATTATCCAGTTATGGACCATGCTCCTGGATGTGCTGGTGGCAACCTTCCTTCTCACATGAAGAACTTATGACAATTCTTTGAGCATCTATACTGGGAGCTGAAAATGAAGGAACGCACACACCGACAACAACGCCTTAATCTGTGGGCAAGTTATCTCTCTTTGTTTGCACAGTCCTCCACGGGGAAACACGAGGTCACGCCCAAAGCTTTTGAATTAATAGAACGTCATTAGTAACAGGCTGGAGCTTTGAGCTCAATATGATTCCCGGCAGTGCTTTCTCGGAAGCTGTTTCCAAATTCGACTTCTGGCAGACTCGATCTTGAACATGCACCCGATGGATCAAGAACCTGTTGTCTGCAAAGCGTCGCTCTATCTCTCAATTAAGCACTGGAAATTACTGGGAAGGCCAAACTTTGGTCATCAGAAACCAGTTCTCAGTGCGACGATGCAAACAGGATATGCCTAAAGGTCCCGCAGAGGCTGGAAGAGGGGGTACATCTGGGACAGGGCTCTTGTGAGCGAGCAACGGCCAACCGTATTTTCGTATCAGCTCAGAAGAGGAGGTGGATCTAGGAGAGGCGTCGATCAACGAAAGCAGCAGCAGCAGCAGATGTTGTGTTGCACAGCTGAAAAGGGCAAAGGTTATGCAAGTATTGTGGAGAATCCCACATAAGCACATTTGAGCTGTGAGATGACAGCTACGGTTGAATAACGCATCTAAAAATAACGCATAATTTCTAGAATAACGCATCGAAAAAAAATACTAGATACAAACTTTTAGAGATGATACTGGTAGTCAATTTACTCAAACTCGTCTCTATGATAGACCAAAAGACTAGATTGATGGGTATCTTCAAAGGAAGATCAATATAGACTAAAAGTGATGAAATTTTTCACACACAACTCAGTATAAAACTTGAAGTGGAAGTAGAATTTGGTAGTAGTATTGATAACTGGAAGAGTAGGTACATTTGGTGTTGACGAAAGTGAGAAAAAATGTATCAAAATTCTCCATATATATTCCAAGCAAGTACTAAGACTACTAGAATGCTATAAGGATTTCAAAGTTGGAAAAATGCATCATCATCGCTACTACTCTCAAGTTGGAAGTAGTCATCGCCACTGACTTCCGAAGTTGGTTATGAATGTCAACTCCGCGAAAGTATCTACCATTAAATTACAAAACATTAAATCCAAGAAGATGAAATTTGCGTAATATGGTACTTATATTCCAAAATCTTTACTTAAGTCGAGGGAGGTAACAATATACAAATTTCACACAATCCAAGAAACTACCAACAAGAATTAAAAATGATCCATATCAAACATAATCATATCCAAGAACTACTTTTGGAAATTCACAAATTTTTTGTAAAATGCTTACTACTATACGGACATTATTTTTTTACAAGTTCATGTAATGATACAAAAAAATGTCAACCATAAGAATACTTTGTGGAAATTATACTAATCAACCTTATTAAGTTGTGTATAGATGGAGATTGGTTGACCTGAAATATTGAAAACATGATTATTACCCAACTGCAACTTGATACAGAGAATCCTGTCAAGCTTTGCGTCATATACCTCTTTGCCATAGTGCTATGGATCGACCACAATATTGCCATAGAAAGTCAAGAAGTCAAGTATCAGACTACAATATTTTACACATTGGGAAGCTACCTTGTGACACTTGGACCTTTCAAAATGCACTTGAGACATTGAAAAATTCTCAACCTGAATGCCATCCGTTTATCCTCCACAAAACACGTCAACCGATCATGTGGAACCCGTTTGCTAAACCGTTTGAACCCGTTTGCAAAAAAATCATGTTATCTCTCATTACGAATCGCAGTAAGTTTGAATATTGTATATGGATAAGACCAAAATAATCAATATGATGGCAAAAGCATTTTTATATCTTTTAAAGCTACAGCATTGGAATCCAGTTGTTGTTACTATTGACAACAAACCATGTCATCAGAAAAATAATGTTGATTCAACGAGTTTTGGGATGGAATGGATTTGTTTATTGCGAGAGAGAAGAGTTCAAAGACCTTGAACCGTATAGTACAATGACAGTACGAGTTTGATTGCTTGGTGCCCCCAAGTGTCTACAAACTAATGATACTCGGAAAGCAATCATCACAAAAAACCTTCGCCTTCCGGGCTCGGTAGTCAGCCGGTCAGCCGGTCAGCCCGTCCGGTCGCAGACGTGGTGCCGGCGGTGACGGAAGGGAGAGGGTAGGAAGAAAGTACAGGATTACTTTTCGAGGCGTGTCCAACGAAGCGCGGATTAGAATGAAAACATCATTGATTAATCCCAGCATTAACCACCCGGTAATTAAATCCGACCTTAATCTCCCGATGATTAGCATTCCCGGCAGATCTGCAAAAGAGGACGCAGTGTGGAATGTTCTGATGATCGGCCTTCTTCAGTCGTCAGGTTCACGAAAGCTGGGCCCAAAGCGGCCCTGCGACCTCCGCGACCTGGAAAAAGTCTCGAACCACCGGCCGTCCCGGTAGGCAGAAGGTCTCCTGGCCTCTGAGCAGCCTTCGCATGCGATCCAGCCCCGCCGCGTTCGCACTTCCCCCCGGGCCTGCTTCGCCCCGCGGAGTGTCGGACATGTCGAGCTCGGTGGACTTGTGGAAGACGGCGTAGCGCTCGAAGACGACGAAGAGGAGCGAGTTTCCCACGGCCAGCAGCCACAGGCCCAGCAGGAAATGCCAGTGCTGCGTCAGGTCCACAAGGCCGAACAACTTGGATACGAAGCGCATCTTTTTCAGCAGCAAGAGCGAGGACAGGACGAACTGGCAGATCAGAGTCGCCGTCAGCGGCCAGTTCGACAGGACTGAGTTTCTGAACAGCCCGAAGCTTTGGCTCAACGTGAGCGCCGTGGCCACGTACTGCAACATTCAATCACCACGATGAGATTATCGATCTCAGCTTTCGGCTGTTCGGTGGGCTCTGAGCTGAGTCAACCACCGAACGACATGTTGCGAGCTGCTGCTGCTCATCAATAGTAAATTCACGTGCATTACAATGCTGGAAATCTGGCAGATCGACTCTGACCTGAAATGAAGCAAATAGGAAGGAGACGGTGGTGTTCTGATTGTACTGCCAGTCGAAACGATCTGCGTTTTCATCGTTTGCCCTCTCGTACCAGCTCTAGAATTCGCCAACAGAACAGAAAAGAACAGACAGAAGAGGAAACCATATTAATCTTCTGCTTGGAGAACAGTATCAATTAACTTTCTGAAGCATCACCCTCCGGTTACATGGACCGCAGTGTTGCAAGAGTTTACCTTCCCAATTCTCATACAAATGCCTTAGGTCAACACAAGCATCGAGCAGCATCACGCTATCAGCGAGTGAAGATTTAAAAAAAGAAGAAGACAGTGGTTAAAAGATAAAAGGATCGAGATTCTTGAGAGTGATTGGACCCACCTGCTGTTCAAGGTATACTTGTGCTATCACCTGGAATGCCATAATGAATACACTTTGACCATAAACACTGATGAGAATGGGAAACGTCAATAAATTGCCTTCAGGTCTGCCATGAGTGAGCTCCTTTCTGGGATGAGTTGCAGGCATTAACAGTACGAGGGGGAATACCAGGCCCAAATCTACCAAAAGATACTGGTTGTCGAACAATTCTAGCCGAAGCCTACAGTCACAACTGGAAGTTAGATCAAGAATCATCTTACTCGTATGTCTCAACGCAATCGGTTCAAATTATGTACAGTAAAACATACTCGCGTCTTGAGCAACTCTAGATCCAGACTGTGTAGTGAAAACCATGAACAGATCACAAGACTGAGCAAGTAGAGAACCCTTGGAAGACAAACATGTAGAGTGTGATCTTCATGAGCACACCTGTAGAGAACGATGACCGAAGTCGCTTGAGTCATTCCATAGAAGAACATGTATTTAAACATAACCGTGGCACTTACTAAGGCACATCGCCCCTCAGCTAGGACCTGCAGGCAAAGGATGAACCATGTTCAACATCACATCACAAGCGTATCGTATCTATTGAGCGAGTTTCACGTACTTCTGTCCATAGGTGCAAGGCATTTCACATCCCCACGGTAAGAGTTCCATAAACACCTTGAGAGAGATCCATCGATCGGCATAAAATCTCATCTTCCGGATTTTCTAAGGATATCACCAACTCCAAGAATTCAAGTTCGAAGCCAAGAGCATTATAACGACAGTTTGGCACTGCAGCATATTTACTGATTATCTATTCAGTTTACGATGACTTTGGATGATTACCATGGGCACAACTCCAATGTGAGCAAGCTTAGTCGAGAAAGGAGCGGCTATACTGGGCCCAGCCGCCATTGTGTCCGTGCTCGCAGCAGGCTTGCTTGCAATGCTGATTCATTAAAAAACATGCTTTGTCAACGAACAAATGGGACCTTAAGGCAGGCGCTTGAAACGTCTTGACTTCTATATCTTATGGACGAGATTCGGAACGAATGCTTCTAAGTTTTCCTAGCTGCTTCTTATGAACATTGTACCTGATTCCGACGTCAGCGGCTTTCAATGCACCCGAGTCATTTGCTCCATCTCCAGTCCTGTGCACAACGAAAAATTCAGCTGATATATATCCTTCGAATTAGACCCTTCAATACACAATCCACTACCAACTAGGAACAATATTTTGATGGAGGTTAAGACGAGTTCCTGGTTTTTCAAGTGATTTAGATATTCAAGCAGCTTCAAATACGTACATGCACACAACGTAGCCAAGGTTTTGTAGGCTTCGCATCAGCTCCATCTTATGCTGGGGAGACATCCGGGAGAAGATACCGGCCTGAGTAAGGACCATATGCAAAGGTGTGATACACTCCATAATTTTGACTGGAGTGGATCCCGTCCGCTCCGTATATCGTTCTACCAAATGTTCGTGCTGCTGTAGAAGGGCATAGAATGCGCGTCCAGTAACCACCAGATTGACAGCACCCCCACTTCCACCTGAGGTCTGAGTTTGAGACAGTGCGCACGTGATATCAGGTTTGCCAACGCTTCGAGAGCAAGCATGAATCATATGCTGAGAAAATCTGATGTAACATAGGTTTCTGTTTTCTCAGCTCGCAGTTCAGGGACTTTTCTTGTTTCTTCGCTTACCTGGTAGTTACTGCTACCAGCGTCCGTTGGTTGAGGTAATAAAAAGGTGTCAACGTCGATTTCAGATCTCTCTTCAGTATCAAAACTCGTTAGAACACAGCGGCTTTTGTATCTCTCAGGGTTGGAGTCAGGAACCTGATCTAGCAAATATGTTCGACATCCAGGCTTCAGAAAATACGGGCCAGACTGCCTGCGAGAATCCACGTTAAACAAGCAAACAACATTTTTATGAGTCTACTGAAGAGCACCATGTGAAGCAGCAGATTCAAAGGACTTCAAAACTTCATAGATTTAGCTGGTGCTGAAAGTGTGGTGCTAGTCTTCTACTCGAATGCGTATTATTACATCGACTGTCTTCTCTAGCGTGTTCAAATGACTGCATTGCTAAAAAATTCAATATAACCGTATTAGTTATGAACGAAAAATGCATAGGAGTATTTGCGTTTCTCAGGATTTATGTGTTTTTACATTAATCTAGAGCTTATTACACGCGTGTGGTTGAAAATTAGACCTGGCCACTGCAGCTGCAGTAAAAGGATTGTCTCCTGTCACCATGATTTCTCGGAGCCCAGCCTTAGCAAGCTGAAGCAAAACTCCCGATGTTTCTGGTTTGAGTTTGTTCTCCATCACCAAGAAACCGCAGAATATCAATTCGCTCTCCATGTGCTTCCTCTTTGCTACCATCATCTGAATTCATGCCAGATGAGTACGTATAACACGGATGAGGAATGAGCAAGCAAAAGTTGCACATCGTATTTTAGTATGTGATTTTCTGACTCAAGCTTATGCCCATGCTATTACCTGCGGTATAGTCATTGATCCAAGCAATCGATAGGCACACGCCAGAACGCGATAGCCTTCGGCGGTGAGAGTTTGGAGCTGAGAATGAAAATCGTGTGGTAGTGATTCAGGGACGCAAATTTCCTGCAAACTGTACACGTCTCCATGAGGTGCTGTTTGAAGTTGACAACACAGCCAAAGAAGGCCTCAAACGTCTGTAATAGTGCAAGTAAAATAGTACATCCTTATATATTATGAAACCGATAGAACAACTGCTACGATTAACTATGGACCGAATGAAGTAACAGCCTGCCTCACCTTTCAGGAGCACCTTTGACGAGAATCCAGCTTCTGGCATCGTCTAAAGTTGAATCGATAGAAGGCAGCTCAAGTACTATGGTGCTCATTAGCCGTATTTCAGAGTCAAAAGTAAATTTCCTCAGTACAGCAAGAAGTGGCTTCGAGTCAACCTCTGTGGGGGGCATGATCACAGTATCCACGGCCGAAAGAGCATTCGTCCAATGTGTCGGAGAATTTGGTCTGCGCACAGACGGTAAAATCTCTTCGAATGGACGGGCCATGTATCTCCAACCTGGACGACCACTCATACGTTCTACGAAATGTTAGAATATATATAACCAGGTAGAATTCTCATGAAGTCCACAAGGCAGAATACCTCCTTCATCACTTAAAACTAAGTTGAAATCAAGAATCTAAGCGGACGAGGGTAGACCTCATCCGTGGAGAGAATGCTCGAAAGATCAAACGTACTACTCATTCTGTATCTTATAATCTTGCTCTCCGTTATCTTCGGAATTTTTTGATACAGTGGGCACTAGGTACTGAAATATGCCATCGAAGTGAATCTTGTCTCGCCAAATAATTGCTGTGGGTAAACAATCTAATCAAAGTGGTGGCCACCTGAGCCCCTACGAGCTTTTGAACTCTCCACACTGACACATAGACAAAGAAATAAGCCTCACTTAACTAATATTCACAGATAAAAAGATGTCAAAGTTGAGCATTTGTGACCTGTACTGGTAAACATTTTAATCTCCAGAGGATCTCCAATTAACTGGTATCTTTCCTGTACGATTCTTGGATCGTGTTCAACGATAGTTGTATCCGACGGGTTCGCGTAAGAGTTTTTAGAAAAGAATTCTCTACAGACTGTAGGAAAACGTCGCAGCCATTCTGCTGATATTTTCACCCCAATCACCTTCTTGATTTCATCTCCCTTTGCGATGCCAGATCCTGTTTCCATGTGATCCAAGAGTGAGATATCGTGGCATGCTGCCAGAGTGTAAAACAGTCCAAGTGAAGATACAGAATTCCTATCAGCCGAATCCCCCACTGATGAACGTACAAGAAGAGCCTGCAATTACAAGGCTTGATCAGAGTTGGCCAAGCTCAAGCTTCCCTTAGAGCAAACAACAAACTTTGACGTATTATTGAACTTCATTCCAGGGAGATCACTTGCACGTAACGAATTTCGTGGAAGGATGTGAACTTTCCAAACCTGTTGCCCTTGACGGAACACGGCATGAGGATCCTTCTCCAATTCCCCGCAGCCCATCGTCGTGTTCAAAGTTTCATTTTCGCACTTCTTGACGACAACCACGCCCTTGAGATTCAGCCCGTCCTCGGTGATCGTTCCAGTTTTGTCAAAGCACAAAGTGTCCACTCGACCTAGGCTAAGTATACGACCGGGGTTTATGCAGTACACACCCTTTCCCTGTAAACGATTGAAAGACACAGATATACCGATAGAAAGTGCTAGGGGTAATGCTGCTGGAACGACGATTGTTAAAAGGTTCATACAGTTTTGGATAATATCCCAGGCTGATTCCTGCAGCGTATTGATACACATGCACATGTTATCAGATTCCAATAAACTTGCGCTGGGGTCCAACAAAATCATGCTCAAGAAGTGATCTCTGACCTGTGACAGGGAAACCTTGAAATGAAGAAATGATGTTTACAGCATCAAGTCCTCATCGGACGAGACACCGCAGTCAATTCTCTCCAACGTGTGGTTACACACATTTAGCTAAGATGTAAGCTCGTTACAGAGGAAAGTATGAGAAGCAAGCGACACACATTTCCGAACTGAAGTGTGGATGTGGGCTCACCTTTCCGACTTGAAAATATATTGTGGCAGCACAGACGATGACCAAGTATACGGCACTATTAGCTACAAAATAATACAGCTTCCTTTCGAAGTTGTAATTCAAAGGTTTAGGAAATCGAATAGCCCTAACGAGGTGCCCCTTAGCAGTTCCATACGCCGTTGATATGACCATCGCCGCTACTGGTGCAGTGTCCTCCTGACGTGCAAGCAAGTTCATGAAAGTGTCTGTTACTGCTTTCTAAAGGTTGATCGGAAAACTAGGTGGAAATAACGCCTTGTCCCTTCACGCTATCGATATCTTTGGCAAAACCCATGGCCACGAGGATTCACGCAGATGTTTAATACAATACATATGGTCATGTAAGCAGGTTCTAAAGGGAGGAATATAGCAGGTACCTTCGTACTAGAAGAAGCTGCCTGCGAGTGCTGCAGGCCCAGAAACTGCCAAATGGAAGCATGTTGATCACTGCCATCAGAGCCAGACATTTGATGCATACGAGGATCGGAGGAGCCCCTGCTCTGGATCGCTAGAGTACCTGAGAGTAGCATGTGTCGTCTATCACGGTCCGACTTGCTTTGAAACACCTGTGACAAGTTCAAGACACTGCTTCTGACATAGACATCTCCACCTGAACTGGGAATATTCTCGTTTGAGCAGACTGCAGAGATAAATGGCAGGCGGTTCTGCTGAGGAAAAGTAGTATCACCTGCCCAAATGCGGATGATCCTGATGGTAATGGTGTCTTCGGAACGGGGGCACTTTCTCCGGTCAGCATCGACTCATTGACCACACACTGGCCTGCTAGGAGGACCAAATCACATGGAAATGACATCCCTGCTTCAACCTCTACGATGTCTCCTGGAAGCAGCTCGGAAGAAGAAATAGTGACCTTCTTGAACCCAATGTCTGCTGCTTTGTTAGTTGAAAGGGTCAGCCTTTTCACTAGACATTCAGAAGCTGCCAGCTTCTGGACAGCTTTCAAATTCCTACGAGTCTCGAAAACGTTGTAAAGTACTGAAACCACTGTCATGCCTAAGATGACGGAGGCGTATATGCGATAGTCTTGATACATCCAAACGCTTACGGAGATGACCTGAAATACGAAAAATGGCTTGAAAACCTCCGTCATCAACAATCGCCTGCACACAGACCGAACCACAAACGAGACGTTCGAAGCAGGGTCCAACGATGTATATCATGCAGAACGACGAAGAAAACGCCAGGAAAAAATCATGGAGGAGGAACGGCAAAGTACCCGAAGTTTGACACTTCTACTGTGAGCACATTAGGCCCATACACCAGAAGACGCTTTCTCCTGGCATCACAGTTCTGACCTGCCAGGCAAGCCAAAAAAGAACGAAGTCTGTCAGTTCGGAGAGGTGTGAAATTTTCAGCTTGACCATCGCAACTTCAAGATCGACTTGCATCAAGAGGGTGAAGGAAAGGGTGCTATTGGTCACATACTCTTCACAGTATCGTAGCGCATTTCCTTCACAGCACAGTCATGTGCAACAGACTGCAGGTCAGCGTATGTGACATCAACATTAAAGGATCTTCGGGTCCAACTTCCATCTTGATCGTTGTACCAGAAACGTTCTTCTCGCCACACAAACATCCGATCTCGATTCGTTCTCACCTGCCAGGAGGACAAGATCCCGGCATTCAGATATTGTCTTTCAATGCCATGAAACATAAGACGAACCATCTGCATTCGCCTGACGTTGCTCTGACTGAAACTCAATTCCGTCACAATTAGCCGTCATTTTCAAATGAATCCTACTTTCGCCTCTCTTCATTTACAGTGTTCCCATTTCCAGATTATGAGCCTGCCTCCCTACTCCGCCATAACTTCAGATTCACTAGCTCCATATTTACACGAATATGATCTGCAATCTCAAGTGATTACCAGGCTCAAGCATATGACTAAGTGAATGGCATTTGTTTGCTTCTTGTAAAGTAATGTGAGCTGGTGGTGGGTAGAAGAAAGTGTCTAGTTAGACTTGCAGGCCTGTGTGGCCACAAAATGTGTCAAGACATTTTAAAACAACCTTTTAAAGGAGGCTGTGTTTGGCAGTGAATTTGCTGGGGGTATAGTCAGGTACCTCATCAGATGGGGGACGAGCTTTGCCGGCAGGCACCCAGCCCTCTTCACCTCCCGCAAAAATCCAGTGAATTTTAACCAGGGACTCAATCTCATCCATGCTCTCCACGAGCACACGCTCGGCAGTAGCATCCGTCTGCCTCACTTGGACGAATCGCAGACGCGCATATAGTCCAGGATATGAGAAGCAATAAACCATGGCCAGCCCGGCAGTGAGGACGCTAATGAGCGCAAAGAACAAATCTTTGAAAATGGACCGTCGATAAAACCTGGCCGATTTGATCTCCAATATCTGATCATCTTCTTCCAACATGGACACATCTCTCTCCCCATGGCTCCTCCCTTGCTCCGGGTCATCGCCCCCTTCATCCAGTGATGCTGGTAGAAAATGATCCATGGCATTGAGGACGCAAATGAACGCAGAGCACAAAACTTTGAAAATGGGCTCATCCGGGTCATTGTCCCCCACTTCATCCTGGGATGCTGGTAGAGAAGCCGGTGATCGATTTTTCGTGTTAGCATCTCGTACAAACCAGGAATCGTCCTCTTCAAGGCCCGACACAGTCTTGGCAGTCAGTTTGCTGCTCTCGTCTGCCATGGTCTCTCTCTCAGACTCGCCAAGCGCAACCCATCCAACTGCAAAAGCTTCAGCCGACAGAATTTATTCCATCCTGCCATCGGCATCGTGCCTTTCGGCTCCCCTCTCGTGCCTCCTTTCCTGTACAGACTGCGTACAGATCTGGAGCTACTGGTAGACTGGTGACGAGTAGCATCTGGGGAAGTTCCCAAATGCAGAGATTAGTGATCTCTGTCGACACGCGACGACTCGCCGCCACTCATGCTGTACAGAATCACATAACTTCGGTCTTCAGCTTCCATCAGTGACAGCAAGTATGCATCGTGCACTCGACTGACGTCATGGATTCCATTGAGACGACTTACTGTCCACAGACGGGAACTCCAAAAACTCTTGAAAGCACTACCGTCCCATCAATTTCACGCATGCCCGACAATACTTGTGTCCTGCGCGCGATGCTTAACTTCCTTGTAAGTCAGCTCGACTTGTAAAATTTCCCATAAGCTAGCGGAATTTGGAAATTCAAGTACAGATAGAGCTATGCTTTACTTCTGTACGTAGGAAAGGGACGAGTCAAGGGTCTCAATCGAAGACTTGCACTCTCGTTGGAGTAGGACTTGAGTAAGTCACATCATCATAGCCCCAGGTCGGCATGGAATTTCGGAGACAAGTATCGATCAGGGCTGTTGAAATTAATGGATGTTGTGAAATAATGGTCACGATCGACATCCTGCCCTGTGCTGATAAGTACCGCAGCCGACATTGACGCTCTGGCACTTTGGACCTCATTGCCCGTGGATATTCAGGGGAGGTTCTGCGCCGTGATTTGGAGAGATGCCGTGAAAATGCCGGCAACTTTGGGAACAAATTTCTCATCAAATTTGGAGACCAGACGTGCAATCAGATGTGCAATCAGATGTGCTCCCCGTGCAAGTTTAGCTGGAGGAAGTGGGTCCGTCTGTATCATCTGGCGGCCAAAACCCGGTGCGTTTCCTCACTGACGCGTTCTCAAGTTATTTCCCGCGTGCTGACCACTTCTCGTCGATAGATGGACCTTAGTCAATGGCCCTGTCAATGCTGCATTTAAACGCTCCCGCACTTCATGATTCCTGCACAGATCTCCAAAAGTTTGCAACTCCAAACGAAGTCAAACGTCGAAGGGCCTCAGAGCCACGGATGTTGGAACAGATCCAATTGACCAGCCAGCCTCTAACCACGGATCGACAAGTGGAGGCTCTTCATCGAGAGTCCAGTTCTCCATGAGTGGAAGATTCGCACGACACAATTCAGTAGACTAGAACCACAAAGATTTGCGTGATGCTAGCCTCCTGAACTTTATTCGTCACATGGGTATTACACTGTTACGAAATTATAACAATAAGTAATCCCCTGCTCTGATGGAAACTTTGGGAAAGGTCGAAGAAATCGACGAAGTATGTTCTGAAAACGTCGTGCCGTGATTGTCTCGGCAGATGAGAGCTGTCGAGGGGTTCGATTCCTTGAGAGCCAAGATTGAAAGTGGGCGGGAATTGTAAGATAGGTCAGAATCTCCATGGCCGGCATCCACCAACATGACTCGCATGTTGGCTCAGCAACGACCCAGCTACTGCGAGGAACGCACAGCGAGTGGTTGGTTTCCCGTTGGCGAGTGATTTCTTGCATTAAGGTTATGCGTTGCGATTGTCAGGGCATTTGCGCGTTTGTAGGGGCCAGTAAATTTCCTGTCATCGCGGCTTTAAGAGAAGCGGCTTAGCGAAATGTCGGGGTTCGAATTTTGCTTAGTCTCCTTACTGCTGCCAGGCTTTCTAAACCTCCAATTAACCAAGAAACTGTAGGCGAGGGGAAATCCTCCAGATCCTTGATCTTTATTCTTCATCGCAGAGATCTGATCACTGCTAGTGCTCCCAACCAAGAAACTGTAGGCGAGGGGAAATCCTCCAGATCCTTGATCTTTATTCTTCATCGCAGAGATCTGATCACTGCTAGTGCTCCCAAACCCCGGTACGTAATTTTGTGTCAGAACATGAAGAAGATCATACTTCGAAACATATCTTTTCTGGACATGAAGGTGGGTCTAGGCCATTCTTGACCACCTTCCTCGCTCACAACGGTGTTAGTAATACTGCGGTGCGCGCATCAGGCTGATGCGCCAACCGCCATGGCCATATATGTACCGCATTGCAGTGCGCTGACTTCAAGTACAACGCGGTTTGCTTCTTCTCAAGTCTCTACTGCCAATTTTCCATGCCTGAAACTACGATCCTCAGCTCTGAGAAACAGAGCCGAACCCCACCTTCGACCGGGAATCGACCATCTCCCTTGCAATTGCAGCCCTTCTTTATGATCCTGCACCATGTCCTCCACTGGCATAGATTTAAAGCAGCACTTTCGCGTAGTAACTGGAGGAGGAAGAATCCATGAATAAGTGTAACTATAACTCAGTTGGTGAATCGACACGGCTTGAGATTATGAGCAAATTATACTCACCTGTCCACACTGTCAACATAACAAGATCCTCGTCGCCTGTCACCTGTACTGGGCCGCATATCCTCTAGCCGCTAAATTCAGTTGTCAGAATGATGGTACTGTGTTGTGACCGAATTGTAGTTTCTATTCGATGACTGTATTGCTTGTTCTGAGCGTCACATCTGAGTCCCATATGGAGTGTTGGATCCACTATAGACGCATTTCTGCGTTGGTAAGCTTTCAGCTTACCAACGCAGAAATGCGTTGGGTGTGATCTTCTGTCGAGGTTGAAAGTCTGCTTATCAGACCCTCACAAGTGTAAAGCTAAATTGGCCGATGAGATATTTCCTTCGAAAGAGCTTCGGAGGAAATCACCGCCGTGTACATGACGGAAGAAGTCATCAAATGAAAGGTAGAAGAAGTGTTGTGGCACGTCGAAAACCAACTATGACAAAGGATAATGCAACACATCATCTGCTACTGCTATAATCTTACCTCTTCAGAGATGAAGCAAAGTCAATTCATGGGAAATTTTCATTCAATTTTGAAAATGGCTGCACAGTCTCGAGATCCACAATCTGCTTGAATGTGCTTCAAAGTTCCCCGTGAAGTAATAAGCTAGTTTAAGTTTTCCAGGTATTCCAGCAGAAGGATGCAACGACAGGTGCAGCAGCATCGTTTTAATGGTTGCTGCTTGCTGCCTCGTTTAACTTTGAATTTGCAAACAGTCGTACTCGATCTCTAGCTGCGGATGGAAAAAAATTTCGGATTCAGAAATTATTACAGATTTGAGGGGAGGTGGGGTGAGCGCCAGGCAAGGCGAGGGCAATTGTACTCTACCATGGATTCTTCTCGCTTTCGGGTGTGCGTTAGCCCGAGCTCGTTACAGGGGCCGGATAATCGATCGAATGCTGCGCCTGTGCGATTGATGTGATCCCGCGGATTGACTGGAGGGTAGTGTGAATGGGGGTAATGTGGCGGTCTCTGACACGTGTCTCGCATCTACTGACCATGTCTCGAATTTGAATAGTGGAGGGTGCGAGCTCGACGGGTGACTTCTTGACGCGACGGTGAGAAAGGGGAGACCGTCACGACGGTGACCGTATGCCGTCAGTCAGCAGTCATACGGTCGGGGTTGTTCTAGCCTGCAGTGTTACTAAACGTCATGAATCACAGTCTTTGGTGTCAGAAGATGGATTCCAGTCACGAACGAAGATTTTGCTGGATGAGGTGTAAGTAGACGTGGTCAACTTGGAGAAAGATGTCCCGAGGTATAGTTCTGGAGGACAATTCTTCAATTCCGTTACTTCCAAAAACAAATTGGAGTCAAGTTCTTCCCCTACTCTTAGATTCACAGCCAATTGGTCCATCAGTAGTCATGCGCTTTGCCTGGAGTCCCACGAGCACTGAGAAGCTCAAACCTCGTGGTGACCTGTGCCCGAAGATCAGTGTGTGACATGTTCGAGTTGTCAGAAAAACGCATTTCATCACAGAACTTGGCGATGTTCGTGACTCCACGGTCGATCGACAGCTCGTTTGATCGAGGCATGGGAAGCTCTCTCATCCGAAACTTCTGCCGATCATTGGACCTTCAAAGCCTTATATATTGAGCTGTGTAGATGCAGCTTTACGGTCGCTGTCGAAGATCATGACAAAAGCGGCCTCTGCTGTTCCCTCTCAGGGAAGCGCATGTCATGTCGTGTCATGTCTGCTGCAGCTGTGCACGTTCAGTCCGAATTGTGCCCATCACCAGAATAGATTCACAAGCGAATCTTCTCCAGCCTGTAAGTGGGGCTAGAGACAACGACGACAAGACTCACACAGAATCTCCATAAAGTGTTTCCAGGCTCAAAGTGCACCCCTACGACATCATCCTCCTCGCTTCTGACGTGGGACCCACTTCCGAGATCTGTTCCAACAGTAGGTGTCATCTCCAGCATTGCTAGATGGTCGAGAAGCTGATTTAGTGCTCGAGTAATCTCTCTGTCCCGATCGAGGCCTGTGTAGCATCATCACCGGCCAATTTTGGTAACCAGGACTCTGCGCAGGGGAATCTGATGCTAATGTAGAAAGCTCGGTTGAAGGCATCAGATCTCAGTCACTGTGGCTGTCAGATCTAGGCAAGGAACGACGACGACGAGCGAAAAGGACGCTCTGTAGTCATCAGACTCGTGGCTTGACTGTTAGGGTCTGCCCAATCTGAGGCAACCAATCCGACAGAACACTGGCAGTCCTTCAGCGAATTTCAGATTGGACCTGCAGTCAGGTGAGAAAAGATCGGATTTCGGGGCCAGCTTGAATTCTCTATCTTTCGACAGGGCATCATTCATCTCATCATTTCTAGGACTGTAATCCAATTCCCTGCCTCATCCCCTCGATGAGACATACCAGGAACTGCTGACCTCTGAGATGGAGTCTGGCGAACGAGACTCAAATATGGGTTTATCTTAGCGAGGCCTATTGAAGACTTGGAGCATAAATTACTGGAATGCACAGCCGGGAGAAGTGGAAACCGCAAGCACAAAGCTTCAAGAGTGCGAAAGCCTTCAGTGGTGGTCATGGTCCTGCATTCACGATCTTTCGTGGCCGAGTCACTTTCAACCTCAAATGCTCAATCAGTCAATCACTTTCAGGTAGCTTCGAGTCACAGTCCCCACACCTCATTCAACCAGAACTCGGACGAAAACTCGTCCCCTGTAGAGCAGAAGAAGCTGCAGAATGGATACCTCCAAGAGATCGATCGAATCATCGAATCAGACTCTCCTGCTGAAAATAGACTTTGTAGTGCTGGCAGCTCCCCAAGCAGCTAGAGCGAGATCCAGCAGGTAAGGGACGCCATATCCACCGAACCATCGCAACGATGACGGAATTCATCCACTCCGGAACGTCACAAGGGCACTTGTGGGAACACAACGAGCCATCTCCAGGCACCACCATTGCAGAAAATACTCCGACAGCATGCGGAGGAGTATTTTCTGCAGCAACTGCTTCGTGCAGGAGTGGAGTGGGTACGAGATGGACAAGGATTCACAATCTGCACCGAGAAGTGCCCCTTCCTACCAACCGTACCGTACCATGCCGTACATCACGTGTACCTGGTACGGGGCGTGGCCGAGGGACTGTTGGGTGCAGATGTGAACGAAGGCAGTTTGCACGGCAGGGACCCCCCAAAAAAGGAAGAGAGTGCGAAGTGTGAGGTCGACAAATTTAGGCGCAGCTGAACAGGCTGGCCGGAGCAGCAGTGAGGAGTCGGACCCGTTCCATCTCGGTAGCGGCAGCCAGACACCAGCTTGCATGAGCTTGGAATCGGCTACAGGCACAAAAAGCTGCGAATCTTGCGATGGCCGAATGAATGGCAGCAAGTTACAGTTCGTTCGGAATCAGGTCGTGTTCCGAATCCTGACCTCATTCAGAACTGGAATGTCGGATTCTCGAGGCTTCACTTTCTTGGTACCAAGTTTGAGCAGCTGAAGAAGACCTTAGCGAGCATTTCTGTCTACATGAATGAATGTGGATCACTTTTGAAGTCTACAGGGCGTGATGGATGGATGGATGGAGGGACCTTTTGAGAGGAGGAAGAGGAATCGTGAAAATTTAGGGCTGTTAGGGATGCATCTTCATAAATAAGATGTTCTGTTGTAGCTGAGAGAATTTCTATGAGAGTGTGCAGGGAAATAGACGCTTGATTTAGTTTGCCCTTTGGAGACGAAGAGCCATGTGATTCATCGTTTGACAAATGCCATTCTACTGCATTGAATTTAACCCAAGTTACTTCGATGGTTGGGCGAGGGCGAGAGGAGGTGCACTGGACTGATTTTACAGCTCGCATATCGGAACCAAACTTTTCAAGAACTAATGACCAGAAATCGGGGACAAGAGCACATGCGATGAACACACTTGAGAGACAAAACTAGACACAACCAGACAGAGGATGCAAAGTACTGACAAGCATTTTAAGCTAGTAACGAACTCGATCACTACTAGTCTTGAAATAATCGACCTGCTCGTGAAGGCAAGAATCTCTTCGACCCTTCCTTTGAAAGTCCACAAGAACAAGAAGAAGATGTTAGCCATATATCTGCTGAAATTTTTACCTATTCTATTTTAACAATCATTCACACGGCGTGCAAGCATTGTACGACCTTCACTCAGAGGTCGTACGGGCTACGAAGAATCTTCTGCAAAGGGCATTTAATCTCACGAGTCCTATCTCAAGATCCACTAGAGGTCATATATTCTGCAATAATTACGGTATGATGTATAAACACCTTGGTTTCAGAATATACTGCAATTGTTGATTATGCCTTCTTTTTAACTGAAATTCCGAATAAAATTCGTTCCACTTCTTATTCGTGCATATTCCAGTGATCTTGAAAAAATAATTCAAGAATGTAAAGCACACATTTAATATGAAAGTGTTTTGGACCAACATAGAACATTTGAAAACTATGTGCAGACATGTGCTGCTTACAGTTTCTAATCTCCACAGTGCGTTGGAATATAAGGGGGGCATGCAGTAAATTATCCAGTTATGGACAATGCTCCTGGATGTGCTGGTGTCAACCTTCCTTCTCACATGAAGAACTTATGACAATTCTTTGGCATCTATACTGGGAGCTGAAAATGAGGGAACCCACACACCGACAACAACGCCTTGATCTGTGGACAAGTTATCTCTCTTTGTTTGCACAGTCTTCCACGGGGAAACACGAGGTCACGCCCAAAGCTTTTGAATTAATAGAACGCCATTAGTAACAGGCTGGAGCTTTGAGCTCAATATGATTCCCGGCAGTGCTTTCTCGAAAGCTGTTTCCAAATTCGACTTCTTGCAGACTCGATCTCGAACATGCACCCGATGGATCAAGAACCTGTTGTTTGCAAAGCGTCGCTCTATCTCTAAATTAAGCACTGAAATTCTTTGGGAAGGCCAAACTTTGGTCATCAGAAACCAGTTCTCAAACAGGATATGCCTAAAGGTCCCGCAGAGGCTGGAAGAGGGGTACATCTGGGGCAGGGCTCTTGTGAGCGAGCAACGGCCAACCGTATTTACGGAATAATAGCTCAGAAGAGGAGGTGGATCTAGGAGAGGCGTCGATCAACGAAAGCAGCAGCAGCAGCAGATGTTGTGTTGCAGAGCTGAAAAGGGCAAAGATTATGCAAGTATTGTGGAGAATCCCACAGAAGCATATTTGGGCTGTGAGATGACTGCTACGGTTGACCACTTCTCAAGCTCCGAGAGCCAGCAGCAAACACTGGCATAAAAATAGCAGCTCAGATCGAAATTCCTCACGTCTGAAAACGGCCTCCAGGCTCTGAGTAGGTTGTGGGCAGGCACACCGAAATCCGTGTTCATCAGAGCACATGTTTCCGAAGCCCAGCTTCCCGAAGAGCCGCAAGTCCCACACGCTGTGCGGGCTCAGCTCCACAATTCCCTGAAATGCTACCTTCCCCAGGAGCACCAGGAGGCGCTTACAGCCAGAGAAGCGGGAATTCTGGTCATTGTGCTCCTCCTTCGGCGCTTCGGCTCTACTGACCATCTCTGGCCTCGGTATGGCATAAGGGAGCGACCCTTCTGCGAATTACGATGGCAACATCTGGAAGTTTTACTATTGTCCCGACATGGAAATTTCCAAGCTCAATAGTACTAAATTTACTGTCATGTGCGTCAGTAGAACATCCATTAATAGCCTGAGCCGAGACGATGCCCTTGCCCCTCTACTTCCTATAAGTTGAGTTTTTAGTTCAGTCAGGTACAAGTAGCAGGTTTAGTGCAGACAAGGATCTCAATTCCCTCGATAAAGTTTGTCAAGATTAGGCAGCAGTCACGATATAAAAGCATTTGTGCACTAGTTTTCCTTCAGTGGCCTAGGCTCACAGCACCATCAACTGATTCCAACATTCTTGAGCCTGTGAATTTGGCTAAGGCCTGGAGTTGCAGTAACTACTGCCAGTTTTGCAGAATCTAAAGTTCTTCCGTCGGACGAACTTCAAGACTAGTTTTTATATAACATCACATTTAGCGCAGATGGCCAATCTGCGCCTTTCCAAGTCGACCGCTCTCAGAGTGACCACATTCTATCTGCTCGCGTGGGTGGTTTTCGGAGCAGGTCAGATTTCTGCAGCCCTCAAAAGTTGCATGACTGCTCATGATGAATCTGGTGCAGCTAGGCCTCATTAATTGATATGGACTTTTGACTTTTGGAATCGAAGTCAGAGTCGAGGATGTAAATGCAATCGTAGTTGCAGTGATCGGTGGTGACAACTGCACGTGGGAGAACCATCAGACACTTATGGTCACCAATACTTACTATGGTCACCAATACTTACTACGAACTGCTGTTACTGAGAGTATGTGGTTGCCTTTCTGCAGACTCCGATTTCAGCTACTATGGAAGAAGCGATGCCTCTGGCCCTCGGCCTGATATGTGGGGTGAGCGGCCTGAGTGGCGGACGTGCAAGGACGGTAAGGAGCAATCGCCCATCAACATTGTCACGGCGAACTCGACTTTCGTGAGTGACTTTTACAGACTCGATACATCTTACTCTCCTGCCAACGGCACTTTTTTCATCGACAGCGCTGACATTCTTGAGGTAATATGGCACCATACCGGGAGTGTGATATTGGGCCCTTTCACGAGGATGCTCGAATTCAGTCTCACACTATGTATGTCTTCATGCAGACGTCTAGATGAAATCACTTCAGAGCAATCTTAGTCATGACCGTAGCTTTCTGTCAATCTTAAGCTCTTGTTGAATCAAAATTATCTTTGAATCAATATTCTGATTATCTTTGCTGTGAGGACCAATTCTGCAGGTGGAGTTGCAGGGCGGTGGAAAATTCACTATCGGTGATACGGAGTACTTCCTGCAGCAATTCCATTACCACTCTCCGAGTGAACACACAATTGACGGAGTCAGGTAATGATTAACACATTTGCACATATTTGTTATGACTAGCAAGTAACATCATTACACGTGAGGTTACTGCAAACGGTGCAGTTGGAGAGATCTCTTGTATTTTTACTCTCAGTTGCTAATTGCTATCGAATTCGGTTCCAAGTGTATGTCGTTCGCTGCTGTTTTCATTATGTATCTAGGCTGACGTACTTCATTCGAACGCATCAGGTTCCCATTGGAGATGCATTTGGTCCACAAATCCAACAGCGGAGATCTTGCTGTGATCGGAGTTTGCTTCTCCTTGGGTGAAGAGAATCAGTGGCTTGCTCCGGTATGGTCCCCAACCCACTAGAAGCACTGAAGATTCATAATGTAAAATCCATGATGGTCGATCCGGAACTAGGCAATAGTCGAATAGGAATCATGAGCAGTGATTATATTTCATTGTTCAGACAGTTGGTTTGCCTAACTGTCAAAAGCTTGGAAAGATAGCGTATGCCTTCTATGCCTGTTCCTGTTGCTTCACATATAACGAACGTGATGAAAATGGTGTCTCATCCATCTGTCGTTTGCTGGCATTTGTTGTGAATAGTTCTGGAAGAAGTTGCCTCTCTTGACCAGCAAAGATGTGGTGGTGAACTTCACCAACATCGATGTGGGCGACTCGAAATTGCACCTCGGACCCGCCTACGCTCGTTACGGAGGATCTCTCACCACCCCTCCCTGCAGCGAGAAAGTCACCTGGACAGTCATTCTCGGGGAGGTATACATATGCATGCCTTGACCCTCGTCAGTCATGATCGATATGTATCTTTTGATGCTTGTGCTGTGCTCTGGCAAAGTAGAAACGCTGAAATGAAAACGCTACTGCTAAATTGTTCAACAGTGACAAGTTAAAAACTGCTTAAAATTGAGCAGAGGAGCTCGAGTCTACTGCTTAGAATTCTCTATCGACCGATTCCAGTAACAAATTTCTTTCGCTCTTAGATCAAGAGATGAAGCAACTAACCTCTTCTGTAATGATTCTCGTTCACCTTCGTTTGCAGGTCAATACAATCTCTGAGAGGCAAATGTGGGCTTACAGCAAGATGCTTCCGGTACGTAGGCTTTGACTTGACCAGATTGATCGGATGCTTTGAGTACAAGATTAATCAATCCTCAGTGTTCATCGGAAGGCTTCGAGAGTCTTCGTGATTCGCCCATCATTTAATTCCTACCAAACAAGCGATTTACTCGTTCGGTATACTGAGCTTATCGTATGTGTGAAATCTCTGCGCAGCACTCGAATGCAAGGCCTGTTCAGAAGTTGCACGGCAGGAAAGTGAAGAATGGCGTTGGTATCTTCAAGAGACGATAAGCTGGCACCTAATAGTTGCATTATGAGAATTCAATGGTAGCTTGGAAACAACTTTTGGTATCACAGTCTCGATTATTTAGTTAGAATCACACACAGATTTTCTGTTTTTCTTCTTGACCCAAAGTTTCACATCAGAAAGTGGGTTGGGAAATGACGGGATAGGAAATTTTTTATCCAACTTTGAACACTACGAAGGAGGGTTTGGATTGTTTAGTTAGTAGATGGCGATAGGTCAGTTAAGTTTTCTCGTAATGTAGAATACCTCTGACCTTCGCGTAGTACGCAAGTGTTAGTGAGTGGAGGATAAATTAATTACCACTGCTCTCAAGTTGGGCAACCGATTGATTCCACTTGCTGTCTTAATTTCCATATCCGCATGTTGATTCTGGGCGAATCACAAGCGAAGAATAATACAAGAATCACCTCTGGGAAAAATCCCTTTCATTACGTCAGAGATTCTTGTGAATGTGTGTGTCTCCGGACAATCCTCTAACTTCAGCTCTCGTGAATGTTTGGCTACCAATTGGGTATCTGAGTAAGAAGCACATTTCTGTCTCTCAGAGAATGAATGCGCACTTTCAAGATAATCAGCTAATAACTCATGTTTTATTGCTGTCCAACACGAATATCCAAGCCCGTTAGATCTACGTTCCTCGTATTCTGGCTCGCTAGGAATGGGAGGCCTCTAAACCCGACATCATGTAAGTGATTATTTGTGATGGATCGATCGGCCCATCTTCATGTTGTGGATGTCCTGTAAAGGATGGTAGTGGGAGCTTGTGAGTCTGAGTTTGTCAACATGTTGTTGTCTGGGACAGATGTATGATCGTTGCCATATGATAGTGTTCGCACCATTGGGTTCTTCAATCTGCAGAATGGAATGCAAGCTTGAAACTCAAGTTAAAATAAGATATTTCCTTGTGTCGCTTGGCCTTAATTTGATGCAGAGGCACTATCTAGCTACAGATGGTCCAGCTTTGAGTCTAAACCTCTCTTGAATCCTTACATATTGCCATTCTAGTTAAATTCAGCCCAATGAAAGCCTTTCTACATCAAACCGATGGCATTCTCAAGACTCCAAAGCTGTACCTTCCCAATGCTTGTGACCAAGCTCTCAAATTTGGCAATGGAAATCTCGAGATACCTCTTATCACCAGATGCGAAGAAAATCAATATCTTATCAGTAATTACTATCCCATGTTTAAGCATGAAGACTTCCTCGGCGACACTTAAGAGCGACGTCAAAGAACTGATATATCCTTCGTATAACATGACACAGATGAGCATGCCAGCCAACCTAGCACTGTATGTCAAGGTCTTGACTCTGCATGCATTTTGATGGATACTCTTGTCGTCTATGCTTCACAAAGATATTTATGCAATACTGATTTCGCTGTATTTTATACTGTATCATGATGAACACTCCAATCACACGATGCAGAGCACACTTTCACTAGATATCTGCTACTCATCGTCAGTTCGTACAATTTGTCAGATCGTCGTTCTCATCTCCCAACCTTCACTTCACAAAGTCAACAGATGAAAATATTTCATTGTCTGATGTGGGCCCTCACTCTAACGAATACTACGCCTCCCAGTTGGATCAGTTGATCGAAAATGAAGTAACTTGTTTTCAATAGGACATGTTGTGCATCTTCTTTCTTTTAAATCCCTGAGAAACAGATGCAGGGGCCACAACAAGTTGCTGTCAATATTTATTTGCCACCAGGTAATGAGAAAGTGTATCTGATGTTCATTTTTCCATGCGAAAAAGTCAAAAACTCGGACATCAGATGGTTTCGCAGATTGATGAAAGTCCCTTGGCTTAAAATTCATCGATCATCAACTCAGTCGTTACATTGGAAATTCTTCTACGTTTCTAACATCACAGCCCTTTGTTTAGTTTTTTGGCCTAGAGTTTTGGATCAGATCAGAAACTGCATCACAAATTGACAGTATATAAACATCAATGTGAGGAATTCTGACGACGAGACTACGAGATTGAGCTGCAGTGATTTCATTGCAGGTCGTCGATTCAGATTTCTTCAACTACTGGCTCCAAGTGCTAACATCCGGCCTTCATATGCACATATCGAGACAAAAGTAACCTTGTTCCCACCTTCACAAATTGTAAGAACGATGTCAAACCAAGATCATCGAGTTGAAGATTCCCATTGATTCTGACTGAAATCTGAGGTATGATTACATCAATAATCTCGACAGTGACCATACTTAAAGCGAATGTATGCGAAACGAATGCATTGAACCAATCACACATCCAAAAGGAATGATTGAGACGGTCGAGAAATCATCTCGATCCAAGATGTGTTCCAAGGTTCTTAAGACTTATGCATTCGTAAGTCCTCCAGGTGCTCACATTTAATGGTCGACCGTGAACACTTCTGATAGATTCGTGAGCTGGGGTCAGCGCAAGCAGCAGAAATAGGCATACAAAAGTTTATCGAGCTCTCAATTTCTTCTCACTGTTCTTATTTTAAGAGTTTATGAGTAACTATTGCAATGGCAAAACAATTTTCATTTTGCTACATGGGTAAATACTTTCAACATGACTGTCTTTACATCAATTTGAAAATTTTATATACAAAACTCATTGTTGGATGATATACTCAGAAGAGTTCATCATTCAGAATTTACAGAACTTATCATTTGAAATTATATCTACAGTTATTTTTCACTTGGAATATTGAAAATTTTAGAGATAATAAAATTCCAGCCAGCGTTTACATCAACTTGAATTCGATTAAAATCTTAAATCAGTTTTCTTTACAATGTTAATGTCAACATTTAGGCTAGACACAAAAATTCCAATTAATACTCGTGACAACGTAACCCAACAAAGTACACCTAATGAACACTAAAATAACTATATATGTTCAGAAAATTAATTCGAACAAAATACTCCAATACTAAAACATATTCCACTCTATAGTTGATATACAAAAAAATCGATTCATTCGGAGTGCGAAAACATTCTCTTCAAAGGATCGTCTACACATCACAAGCAGATATCCCACCGACTAATCAACCTTGATGGACCTTGAGAACGATGCTAGTGACTTGTGCAAAAGAAATTGAGTCAAGGTGTGGATAACTTTGGCACGAAATCCATCCCCGAGTGAACTCAGCCTTGAATTTGTGTAATCAGTTTGCTTGAATCACTTCACCTGTCCGGCGTTGAAATCCAGCCCTGAGATCATTTCTGTGCTATTCGAATTGACAACTTCTTGTTCTTACTTGTATTCTTGGCCTCACATATCTATCGATAGAACTGCGTGCCAAAAATTTGGGCATGAATTACAGTTGGATCTCACGTATTTATTTCTGCAGACTTGTTCACAGAGACCTGGGCAAACGCAATCCCACGCCGTGCCAAAGTGCTCCTCCAGTACCTTCGAAACTTTGTAATTCTAGCGGTGTTGTCCACGAATGTTGTCATGGGGCGATCTGAGAATCTCTTCAGCTCCAGACCTCGTTGTTTACAGCTTGTTGATCGAGATCGGCTCATCCTGCACAACAGTTACTCCGTGCATGTCTTGCAATGTGAAATGGCAAATGAGTTCTGACTATCACCCCAGTCCTCATTACATTGCCGTACTTCTCTCTTGATTAACTGTACTCTTCTCACTTCATCGTTCGAATGATATTCCGTGGGCTTCTCATAGACCCGAAGACACACTCCCATCTTGGGATTCCCAAACACTCATCTTCAGAGCGAATCACAATGTTTTATCATCACAATCAAAGCAAAATTGAAAACTATCTTCGAAAATACTCACTGAGGTACTACAAGCATATATCCTTCCATGACCACAGATGTTCTTGTTACAGTGATTTTAACTGTGCATGCTCAAAGCTTCAAATTCTGTCGAGGAGTTCATAGACTCATTAAGAACGTCACTAGAATTTAGCAATTTCTCCTTTCTTTAAAAGAAAATAGATGTCGTGAAGGCATGTGCAGTTTTTAATCTCAGGTGGTACGTTTGGAAGTATTATCCCACACTTGCTCTTATTTCTCCTCGAGCCTGCTCTGCTAGTGAACGTGCTCGTTGCCAATCATTCGAATGAGCGCATCGAAATTTGCGAAGTCACAGTGAGTCCGCTACACACCGCCATGTATCGGACCTGCAAACCACGTTACAGTCCATACGTGCGATTGCAGTATCATATTTTTCCACGGACTCCACGGCCTTCCGATGATGGTCACATGTGTCACCCATCGATGTTTAAAATTATGGTGGACGGACAAACTCCTATCATGAAAGTCGACTAGTTTCTCAAAGATTTTCATGTGGGAAAGTCAGCTTTAAACATCAATTGTTGAATGTAAGAGCTAAACTCGATATTAGATAAATGAGAAAATAATCCCTTGAATAGCAAAGGTGATAAGGATGGTCGAGAACATAATCTTGTGTTAGATTATACTAATCCGATCACTACACTACACTCGGCAACTAGATACTAACAACACCACTCTCGAGGGTACTACCAGAAAATATTGTTGGAAAATTTTAAAGGTAGACCATTGGATTCTAATATTATAAAATGACAGCTTGAATGTCAGATAACGAGAATACTCCAATAAATTTTCTATGTTTTTCAAATTTATGACTTGGTGAGTAAGTGTGCAAGGTTTTCCTCGGTGTGAATGTACTTGAGGTCAATTTCCCCCTCTAACACTCTTTCCCTAATAAAATGGTGTTTGCTTTCGATGTGCTTGGTCTTGGCGTGGAACACACGGTTTTTGGCTAGCTTAATCGCACTTTGATTGTCGCAAAATAGTTGCAAATCTGCAATGGTCGGCGTCGCTTCATCTCTTAAGTTCTCCACTATGGTAGAACTTAAAAATTGAAATTGGAACCTTCAGAAAAGTAAGGATTCCTAATTCTTGTATTAATCTCTTGAGTTACACAGCCTCTTTGCCCCCTTCTGATAAGGTCTTGTATTCAGCTTCAGTCGTGCTATCAACAAACCGTGGGCTGTTGCTTCGATGACCAAGATACACCGCCGCTTGCAAGCTTAAAAATAAAAGCTCCAATGGATCGACGGGTGTTAGGACAGCTAAGGTAATCTCCATCAGTATAGCCTTGAATATGTGATTTTTCTTTCTCGCGAAGTAAGCCATAGTTCACAGTGCCATTGAGGTATTGGAACATCAAGATGTTGAACTGCATCCCAATGAGCCATTTGTGATTTATGCATATACCAACTTAGAAGTCCAATAGCGTACGAAATATCAGGGCGAGTGTGACAAAGAAAGATATGCTTACCAACCAAGTGATAATATTTGAGCTATCAACACGTGGAGTATTTGTATATGCCTTGAGAACAAGTTCAACCGGAAGCACAATTGATTCAGTAAGGAATATGTCCGAGTTGCACTCATTGAGTAAGTCCGTGGTATAGTTGGTTTGATGCATAAAAACTCCGCTAGTAGTGGTATGCACGATGTCCACCTCGAAGTACCAAGAGACCCTAGCTAAATCTTTCATCTTATACCGTAAGCTAAATGGAGATTTGATCTTAGCGACACGAGAAGAACTATAACCAAAAATTAGCAAGTCATCAACGTAGAGTAAAAGTACATTAATATTTCTATCTTCACGTAAAAAGTATAGGTTAGGATCTAGCTGACTTCTGATCCATTCATTGGAACAAACTTACGTGTCAATCTCTTCATACCACTGACGAGGAGATTGTTTGAGCCCGTATAGAGACCTTTTCAGTTGGAACACCAAGTGCTCCTTTCCTGGTTCTTCAAAGCCTGGGGACTGCTACATGTAAATATGTTCTTGTAACTTTCCATTCAGAAAGGTAGTGATAAAATCCATATGGTGCAAAGTTCAACCAAGAGTCACAAATAATGCTATCATTGTTCAAAGAGTAGATCAACGGACTACATGAGCAAATGTCTCATTGTAATCCACTCCATACGTTTGCTCCAAGCCACAAGCAACAAGCCTAGCTTTCAGACGAATTCGTGTGGGGTCTAACTCTTGTTTTGCTTTGTAGATCCAACGTGAAGTTAGTGACTTTTAGCTCAACAAGTTCCCAAATGTGATGCGTAATAAGAGCGTCAAATTCCTCTTGCATTGCTTTCCACCAGTCGGGATTAAGCTTTGCTTGTTGGAATGAAATCTGATCTATAATTGGTTGGATCGTCTTAGCAACATTGAGTTGGTGAGGTGCGGAGATGTAATAATGGTCATAACGAGCAGGTAAACGCCGCATCCTTGAAGGGTATCGTCGTGGAAGAGTAATGTTTGAGACAGTGGAGGTTGCAGCAACATTAGACGTCGTAGGAGAAGTCGTATGCAGTGCTTGAGGTTCAGGTCCTTCTGGTTGATGAATATTTGATGGAGCCATGAAATCAGATCGATGAGAGTTATCCTGTTCTATTGGTGACAGAGTAGGAAGCACATTATCATCATAGGGAAGGTGGAAAAAATATCCACAAATGGTGTATCTGACGGAAAATCATCCGAGACAGTTTCAAATACAGTATCATCTGCGGATACAACTATGCGCTTATTGTGCATATCCCAACATCGATAAGCTTGTGATTGCTCATCGTACTCCAACAGGAAAGCGCGAAAAGACTTCATTTGTAATTTAGTGCGCTTTTCTATTGGGATGTGAACGTATGCCAGACTTCCAATCACACAAAGACAAGATAAGTCGAGAGGGATGTCATATAACTTTTCAAATGGAGTTGTCAAGTTCAGTACTCGAGTAGTACATTGAGTACATAGTTTGCAACTCAAATGCACTCAGTCCAGAGATGTTTGCGAAACTTTTGAGAAGTTTACAAACATTACGCAGCTTGAATCAACGTACGGGTTTTGCGCTCTGCAAATTCGTTTTGATGTGGAGTTCAAGCAGTGGTCAGTTGGCGTTGTATGCCTTTATTAAGACAGTTTTTGTTAGAGGACTGAGGTAAATATTCTACTCCTCTGTTCGAACGCAGGCTTGAGACTTTGAAGTCCCAATCACTCTAAGTGATGGCAGCTACTTTATATGGAAACACATTTTCGACTAAAGTGACAAACTATTTGTAGCAATCAAAAGTAACAATCTTAACTCGAAGGAAGTAGGTACATGTATACCGTGAATAATCATTGATAAAGTTAAGCATATTCTTAAACTCTATTCCTGCTACAACTAGACCACAGATGTCAGTATGAATAAGCTTGAGAGGACGGTATGAATAAGCTTGAGAGGACGAGTACTTCGTTGTGCAGGCTTCTTACTCTTGTGAACGCGGTGCTGCTTGGACAAAACACAAGTGATGCACTTATGTTCACAGCTTGATGGTAAGTAAGGCAAACCTTTTACAAGACGTTTGGACGACATGTGGTGTGTCGTCTGGAAATTCAAGTGACAAAGTCGATAATGTCAAAGGGTTATTGTGTTGATGAGCGGTATAGTTGCAAGAGTTGGATTGTCTTCAGTAATCCTAACAAATATCAGAATAGTCCGAAGGCCTGACCCGTCGTGGAACTGCATTAACCTTTATAAGTAGTTGTTTGGACTGTTCAGATAACTGAGGATGAAAAAGCTTAACTTTATACAATCTACTCTTGTGATACCTATTTGAGTATAAAAATATACTAGTTGGATTTTTTTCATCTAAAAGAAAACATGAATAAGATGTAAAAAGTGCATAATGTGCTGAATCAGTCAAGCCGTCTACTTACAGTAGATTTTTGTTAACCAGGAACATACAAAACGTGTTTGACGGATTTACTACAGTTAATACACAAAGTGCCTTTCCCGGCTATAGAAAGACGAGCCCCACTCGCAATAGACACTCCTACTGATGAAGATCCTGCTTGAAATGATGACATGAGAGAACGATCTCCATCATGGCTACTTGCACCCAAATCCAATAGTTACTATCAACTGGTAGTCTGGTAGTTAGAGATAGTTACTTCAACTATCAACTATTGGTAGTTACTTCAACTATTGGAGAGGTGTCACATGTAAAATTTGCTTCTACGTCTTGAGATTCTTCAAAAACTTCTGGAGTTTCGAGATGGATCATGGTATCCCATTCTTCCACCATGTGGACCTGATCACAATTGCTGCGATAAGGTTGGATGCGCAAATTTGCAATTGTGCAATGGACTCGTCTAATTCTCGTAAGTGACAATCAGCGACAAGATGCTTAGCCTTGCTACATTAGTCACAGCATGCTCAACGTGGCATATTCCACTCTGCCCTTGGCGTTGAGCTAACATGAGAATGAGTTGATCGAGAAAAATGATTTGAGCGGGTACGGAAGTTATGACGTCTGGTAGCAGAGAAGTTAGCCTCTTCGTCTCATTGTGTCTTCCCCTTAGTGAAGTTGCATGGAATGGAGACGTTAGACGAGATCCTGAAATGACCAAGGAGGTTGGCGCTCCATTTCACCCAAAGAATTATGCACAAAAGGGCCATAGCTAGCAGGCAGTCCTTTTAGCGTGTGATGTATGAGGTCAGTGCCCGATACTCTATGACCGATGTTGCGAGTTGGATAGTGATAGAGTCTACTTGTTGGAGTTACTTCTCAAGAGAAGCACCATATGCAAGCTGGAGCGAAGACAACGAGTGAGAGAGAATGAGCCTTCTGCGTGTGTTTTGTGATTCATATCGCTGACGAAGATGTGTACAAAGCTCTGCATGAGTGTCTTCAAAATCTGAAATAGATGGTAGAATATCCAAATGTACATTGGCCTGAATCAAAGATATGGCTTTGATACGACGCTTGCGGATGTCTTGCTGACGAGCTCCATTGAGATTGTGAAGTAGAGTCGGTTGGTGTATGATCTCATCCCAACGATCCTTGGTGCGAAGGATTGTTTTGAGTCGGATGTACTAACTGAGATAGTTCTCGCGCCTGGAAATCTTCATATACTTGGAAAAGTTCAAAACTTTGTCCATTGCTAGCTAAGTTACTATAACAACAAGTTCTCTTTTAACATAAAGACATTTGCTTATTCAAAGGAACAAGGCTGGCAAATATCTAATCTTCAGTCGTTAGCAAAAGAAGAAGAATGAAGTATTTCGCTCTAATACCATGTTGAAAGTAAAAGCTGAACTGGATATTAGATAAGTTATAGAAGAATCCAAGTAAGTAGCAAAGGTGATAAGGATGTTCGAGAACATCGACCGTAGGTATAAAAGGGTAAGAAGAAAAAGAAAATCTAACACAAGATTATACTAATCTGATCACTACACTCGGTAACTAAATACTAACAACATCAATTTTATCAACTCTGATCGGTGATTGATATTCATCAAAGAACGATTTGAGAAACTGCTTCCCATCAAGCATGGACAAGAAAAATGCTAGATACACAAGACGATTGATCTGTTGCATCGAACTCAATAGTTTTCTATAAGCTCGTTCCGGTCGGTTCTGGTATGGAATGGCCCTTCTGTGAGGCACTTTCATACTGATTCTTGTTTCATCTGAAACCAATAACCGGACATGAATGTCGACCCACAGCTGTTTGGTCTGTAACATCTAAGCCCGAGCATTGGATCTCTGTGGAGATCATCAGGCTATGTACATTGCAATATTTGATGTCATTTCTTTGACAGACAGAAGCATGTTGTTTGTGAACTACCATTTGTAGGCCGATTCAGACTAAAAGAAGTTGAAATTCTGAAGTTTATCAAATTCTGTAAGATAGAGCTCTTCTCGAGTGCTAGCTACTTGAATGATGGGGAGTCCAGAATGTGAATGTGAACGAAGTGGACAAATTGCTCAAATGCTCTGGCTGAAATCTTGTGAGGAATTTTTGTCAACTCTCAGCGTGAATTTCGTCATCACAACTTTAGACCAAACCAACATGAAATTACGAACGACTTGAACTCAACTAAATCGGGTGTCTCCGGTATCGTGACTTCTTCATCACTGCGAGTAAAAAAATGGTCGCTGAACATCAAGATCTCAGGAATATCGCGTAGAGGAGGTAGACGTACAAATCACTATACGAATGTAACATTTAACGCTTTGTTCCATTTCTTGTGGATTAGATGATTCAGGTATTTTGACAGTTTTCAATCTTCCCAAGTTGCGTTCATTAACTTGAGTTCTTGCATTATGCTCGAGCTTTGACTCGTGGCGCAAATGTATGCCTAAAGATGAAAGGTCGGAAGAGGGATATAGTCCCAGTTTCCTAGCGTAACTTTTAGGCTTTCTTCTCATGTCTCTAAATATTCCAACTTGGCGGTCTGGACTCCTTCGGCGAACCTCACGCTTTGCATGCCGTCCACGAATGTAATCAAGCTTCAAAGGTGTGGACAAACTATTTGAACCTTCTCTTTGTGTGCTCAGACTGCTGCCAACTGTCTGGTGGCCCCAATCGTTAATCCGCACTGCCGATGTCATGCGAGTCATGACATCAGCATTCTGATGGTGCGCTCAGTGCAATTGGTCTGACCATTCTTTCTACTGCAGGCACTGCCTCCTCCCACCTGCGGAGAGCTGTAATCAGACGAAATCCTAATCCAGTTCCTCATTATCTTCACCCTCCTCTTGATCCTCGCGCTGCAGAATTCTCAGCAAGTCAGAGGTGATGTCCCAGCCGAAGCCTCTCCTCTGCAGCCAGCCGGCCATGCGTCTTTTGCGGGCATTGATATCTGCTTTGTTCCCTTGACTCCACCTTCGTCGAGCTTGGGAGAGAAGTTGCTCTGCTGCTTTCTGATTCATACCCCACTTGTCCCCTCCATTGTCTTCCCCGTCCAGGTCCCCTGCGTCCTCCTCGTTTTGGAAAACGTGCATGAGACCAGCTTCCACATTATCCTTACTGATCCCTCTTCTTAACAGCTCATACTTGATGCGTTTTGGTCCCCAGGCATTACCATTCCACCTCGATCGTGCAAAGACTTCTGCATACTCTTGATCACTCTGCAATCCACATCTTTGGAGTTCCACAATTGCAGCGTCCATGATCTCAGCGGAGAAATTCTTCTTGCTCATTTTCATTCTCAGCTTTGCCTCGGGCTGTGGTCCCAGAGCCAGCAGGGAGATGCAGTAATCTTTCGCCCGGAATTCCAGATCGTGGGTCTGTTCTCGCTTTCCTGTATCCCGAGTCTGTGATGACGTGAAGGAATTTGAACAGACATCAGCTGAATCACCAAAAAGACCTTCAAACTGAGTAGCCTCGTTTGCTGACGGCTGCTGCAGATTTCTCCTCCTGGGCTTCCGACGCTCAAATCCCTCGACCTCCTCTCCCTCTGGTCTAGATATCAAATAATTCGCTTTCTCGCTAGCCCTTGCAGCAGAAGATGATCTGCTTACCCGTCGGCCCTCTGCATCACCTTCCCCTCTTCCTACCAAACTTCTGTCCGTAGGTAAACGTCTTAAATCAGAGTTGTGAGAATGCGTGTCTCGTGATTCACTAACTCCAGATTCCCTCTCTGCGCCTTTCTGAGACCCCGACTTCGGCACATAGCGTTCAGGCAAAGAAGCATTGGATGCATAGCGGGGAAAAGCTGGAACGAGCGATGAGCCAGACGGTGCTTTCACGAGCTGATGAAGAAGGCGAATACACTGCCGATGCTGCTGCCACATTCCGCCCCTCCCGGAGGCCATGCGTAGGACAGAACTACCATAACACATTACTCCCGCCATTCGACATTCGCCATTCACCGCATTCAGTCACTCCCTTATCACAGCTGACCAGACACTCACTCACTCACTCACTCACTCACTCACTCACTCACTCACTACGCCGCTCTTCAATTCCAGCGACGCACTTCTTCATTCATAATCTCGTAGACAGGACCATCCACCCTAATGTCGAAAAAAAACGCGCAATTCTTCTCGTCGTGGTCGGTCGCTGCAGCTCTGCGCCGGGCAACCATGGCGATCGATGCCATGCCACCGCAACGGAACATCGATGGAAAGCAAAGGGAGAGTACAGTTCTCCATAGCCCCAACTACAGTAGAGGACTTTATTGTCAGCTCAGTGTCCATCTCTAACGTGGTAAGAAGCAACCGCGCACCTGTAACCACGCCAACCACGCGAGCTAACCGGGCAAGTTAGAACAACAGCAGGTATTCTCGAAACCTGCCAGGGGAGAGTCTATCTTCCCACAAGAGAATCTGAAAATGAAATAGGGTGGTGCGAGAATGAATGACCAGGAATGAACACTGGAATGGTGGTTCTCCTCCCAAAAGAATGAGACCTGGAGCTAATCCAGAACTGGCGCCCGATTACACTATTAATAACTTCTTATAGGATTTTGGCGAAAATTCTTCAACTTCGACTCCAAGCATTACTACCCGAGATCATTCATGAAGGTCAAGCAGCTTACTTCCATCTAGATACATCTTGGATGTCGTCTTAGTCCAGCATGAAACGGTTGCTTGGGCTCAAGAATCTCACCAAGCACTCATTATGCTAAAAATGAATATATGTAAATCATACAACTTTGTGAGTTGGAATGTCCTGTTCCAAGTGATGCTCAAGATGGAAAACCCGGCACCATTAGTTAAAATAGTTCAGACCCTGCTGAAGGATGCCTCAGCATCAGTTTTTATTAACGACCTCAACACTGAAGAATTTCCAATTATGCAAGGGGTCCGGCAGGGATGTCCCTTGGCACACTACATGTTCATAATGGTTGCAAAGGCGCTAGCAATAGACTCCATCCGCGAACTGTCCATTGGAAGTCTGCGAGGAATTATGCTTCCCGATGGTTTCTATGTTTTTCAAATTTATGGTAGTGACTTGATGAGTAAGTCTGCAGGGTTTTCCTTAGTGTGAATGTACTTGATGTCAATTTTCCCTCTAACACTCTTTCCCTAATAAAATGGTGTTTGACTTCGATGTGCTTGGTCTTGGCGTGGAACACAGGGTTTTTGGCTAGCTTAATAGCACTTTGATTGTCGCAAAACAGGTGCAAATCTGCAATGGTCGGCGTCGCTTCATCTCTTAAGTTCTCAACTATGGTAGAATCAGGGCAAGAAATTGGAACCTTCATAGAAGAAAGGATTACTAATTTTTTTATCAACCGCCTGAGATACACAGCTTCTTTGCCCCCTTCTGATAAGACCTTGTATTCAACTTCAGTCATGCTATCAGAAACTATGGGCTGTTGCTTCGATGACCAAGATATAGGTCCCCTTGCAAGCTTAAAAATATAAGCTTCAACGGATCGACGGGTGTTAGGACAGCTAAGGTAATATGCATTAGTATAGCCTTGAATATGTGGTTTTCTTTTCTGGTAAAGTAAGCCATAGTTCACAGTGCCATTGAGGTCTCAGAGAAGATGTTGAACTACATCCAATGAGCCATTTGTGGTTTATGCATAAACCGACTTAGAAGTCCAACAGCGTACAAAATATCAAGGCGAGTGTGACAAAGAAAGATAAGCTTACCGACCAGGTGACAATATTTTGAGCTATCAACATGTGGAGTATTTGTATTTGCCTCGAGAACAATTTCAACCGGAAGCGGAACTGATTCAATGAGGGATGTGTCCGAGTTGCACTCACTACGTAAGTCCGTGATATAGTTGGTTTGATGCATAAAATTCTCGCCAGTAGTGGTATGCACGATGTCCAACCCGAGATACCGAGAGACCATACCTAAATCTTTCATCTTATAATGTAAACTAAGTTGAAATTTGATCTCAACGACACGAGAAGAACTATCACCAAAAATTAGCAAGTCATCTATGTAGAGTAAAAGTACAGTAATAGTTAGATCCCCACGTAAAAAGTATAAGTTAGGATCTAGCTGACTTCTTGTTCATTCATTGGAACGAAGGTACGTGTCAATCTCTTCATACCACTGACAAAGAGATTGTTTGAGACCGTATAGAGACCTTTTCAGCAGGCACATCAAGTGCGTCTTTCTTGATTCTTCAAAGCCTGAGTGTTGTCGCATGTAGATCTGTTCTTATAACTTTTCATTTAGAAAGGCAGTGATAACATCCAAATGCTGCAAAGTCCAACCAAGAGTCACAGATAATGCTATCATTGCTCGAAGAGTAGACCAACGGACTACATGAGCAAATGTTTCGTTGTAATCCACTTCATACGTTTGCTCCAAGCCACGAGCAACCAGCCTAGCTTTCATACAAATTCGTGTGAGGTTTAACTCTTGTTTTGCTTTGTAGATCCAATGTGAAGTCAGTGCCTTTCTAGCTCGAGGAAGTTAAACGAGTTCTGTAAGATCTGATGTTGTATGTGTGAACTAGAAGTAGAATTAGCCAAGGAGTTAATCATGGTTATGATAGTTATGACTAAATCTAGCTAGGTATGACTAAGTCTAGCTAGTTTAGCTATAATGTCTTCACTTGGCGGAATAACTAGAGAAGTTCTAGAAGATTTGAGTGAGCACTTCTATTTTGTCTTATACAATAGTCTAGATTCCAAGAGAAAAGACTTTTTGACTTCATGTTTAGTTTTGATTGGTTTGACTAAAATGAGGAGTACTTCATTGGTTAGACTAAGTCTAATGTTGACTTAGTGGAAAGTAAAAGTTCTAGAAGTTGGAAAGGCACAAATGGCATGTCGCCATCTCGATCTATGGATTAATAAACATCTAGAAGGTTTAGGAGGACAATGGCATGTTGCCACATATTGATAACTAGTCAACCTTACTATGGTTTATCTTTGTAAAAGTAAGTTACATAGGAATTACCATTTGTTACTATGGTAAATTCTCAAGTAGTATATATAGAAAGTTAGTAAAGAGCCTCTCAAGCAAGTTTGGAGAGTTCATATGTAGAGACTTGTTTCATATATGAAAAAGTGACGAATTTTCAGTACCTTGAAGTGTCGATGTGTGTGTGAGTTGAAGTGATACCTTGAGAGATTGTGTGAGAGGGTGTTTGGGCTATGAGTATAAGGAGGAATCCTAGTCTTCTAGAATCATGATGAGCTACAGAAAAGACATCGGAGGTAAATCTGAGTGAGAGTCATCCCGGAGGTTGCAGTTCCCAAGTGTGATTCGTAATAAGAGCGTCGAATTACTCTTGCATTTCTTTCCATCAGTCGGAATTAAGCTTTGCTTGTTGGAATAAAATCTGATTTGTAATTGGTTGGGTTGTCTCAAGAGCATTGAGTTGATGAGGTGTAGAGATGTAATAATCGTCATAACAGTTAAACGCCACATCTTTGAACGGTTTCGTCGTGGAAGAGTAATGTCGAAGACAATTGAGGTTGCAGCAACATTAGACATCGTAGGAGAAGTCGTAGGCAGTGCTTGAGGTTGAGGTCGCTCTGATAGATGAATATTTGATGGAGCCGTGAAATAAGATTGATGAGAGTTATACTCTTCTATCAGTGATAGAGTAAGAAGCACAATATCATCATCCAGAAGGGAGGAAAAAATATCCACAAATGGTTTATCTTACTGAAAATCATCCGAAACAGTTTCAAATACAGTATCATTTGCGGATACAACTATGCGCTTGTTATGTGAATTCCAACATCAATAAGATTGTGACTACTCATCGTACTCCAACAGGACAGCGCGAAAAGACTTCACTTGTAATTTAGTGCGCTTTTCTATTGGATGTGAACGTATGCTAGACTTTTAATCACACAAAGATGAGATAAGTCGGGAGGGATATCATATAACTTTTCAAATGGAGGTGTCAAGTTCAGGGCTCGAGTAGCACACCGATTGAATACATAGTTTGGAGCTCAAATGCACTTAGTCCAGAGATGTTCGGGAAACTTTTGAGAAGTAAACAAACATCGCGCAGCTTCAATCAACGTACGGTTTTTGCGCTCTGCAACTCCGTTTTGATGTGGAGTTCGAGCAGTGGTGAGTTGGCATTGTGTGCCTTCATTAAGACAATATGTGTTAAATTACTAAGTTAAATATCCTCCTCCTCTGTCTGAACGCAGGCTTGAGACTTTGAAGTTTCAATCATTCTCCCGAGTAGTGATGGCAGCTACTTTATGTGGAAACACGTTTTTGATTAAAGTGACAAACTGTTTGAAGCAATCGAAAGTAGCACTCTTAACTTGAAGTAAGTAGGTCCATGTATAACGTGAATAATCATTAATAAAGGTCACCATATACTTAAATTATGTTCCTGCTACAACTAGACCACAGATGTTGGTATGTATAAGGACGAGTACTCCTGTGAACGCGGTGCTACTTAGACAAAACACAAGTGATGCACTTATGTTCAGGACTTGATGGTAAGTAAGGCAAATCTTTTACAAGACGTTTAGACGACATATGGTGTGCCGTCTGGAAATTCAAGTGACAAAGTCGATGATGCTAAAGGGTTATTGTGTCGATGGGCGGTACAATTGCAAGAGTTGGATTGTCTTCAGTAACCCCATTAAAATCAGGATAGTCGGGAGGCCTAACCCGTCATAGATTTGCATGAACCTCTATGAGTAATTGCTTGGACTGTTCAAATAACTAAGGATGAAATGGCTTAACTTTACACAATCTACTCTTGGGATTCCTATTTGCAAGCAGAATTATACAAGTTTGATTTTTCTCATCTAAAAGAAAACATGAATAAGGTGTAAAAAGTGCAAAATGTCATGAATCAGTGAGGCGGCCTACAAACAATAGATTTTTTGTTAACCCAGGAACATACAAAACGTGTTTGACGAATTTATTAAAGTCAATACACAAAGTGCCTTTTTCGGCTACCGAAAGACGAGCCTCATTGGCAGTAGACACTCCTATTGATGAAAATCCTGCTTGAATGATGATATGAGAGAATGATCTCTTGTGACATAGCTACTTACTCCCAAATCAAGATTAAAATAAACTATTGGAGAGGTGTCACCTGTAAAATTTGCATCTATGTCCTGAGGTTCTTCAGAAACTTCTGGAATTTTGAGATGAATCACAGTATTCCCTTCTTCCACCATGTGGACCTAATCACGGTTGCTGCGACGAAGGTTGAATGCACGAGTTTGCAA